GCTACGGTTATCCTTAATACATAAAGAACTTGTAAAATCAGGGGGGAAAAAAAAAACCCAAAAGAAAAATATAAATCACGTGGCACCTGGGTGGCTCAGTGGGTTAAGCGTCCAACTTCAGCTCAGGTCATGATCTCGAGGTTTGGGGGCTCAAGCTCCACGTCAGGCTCTGCGCTGACAGCTCGGAGCCTGGAGCCTGCTTTGGATTCTGGGTCTTCCTCTCTCTCTGCCCCTCCCCCATTTGTGTGCATGCACACGCGCGCGCGCTCTCTCTCAAAAATAAACACTTAAAAAAAAGTAAAAGAAAAAGAAAAGAAAAAAATACCAATAGCGAAAGACATAAACTGTCAATTCACAAATATATAAAACTGGCTCGAGGGGCACCTGGCTGGCTCAGTTGGTAGAGTGTGCAACTCTTGACAATGGGGTCGTGAGTTCCAGCCCCACACTGGAAGCCTACTTAAAAAATAGAATGCTATATTGGGGCGCCTGGGTGGCTCAGTCGGTTAAGCGTCCGACTTCAGCTCAGGTCATGATCTCGCCGTCCGTGAGTTCAAGCCCCGCGTCGGGCTCTGTGCTGACCACTCAGAGCCTGGAGCCTGTTTCGGATTCTGTGTCTCCCTCTCTCTCTGACCCTCCCCCATTCATGCTCTGTCTCTCTCTGTCTCAAAAATAAATAAACGTTAAAAACAAATTAAAAGGGGTGCCTGGGTGGCTCAGTCAGTTAAGCGGCTGACTTCGGCTCAGGTCATGATCTCGGTCTGTGGGTTCGAGCCCCGCGTCGGGCTCTGTGCTGACAGCTCAGAGCCTGGAGCCTGTTTCAGATTCTGTGTCTCCCTCTCTCTGACCCTCCCCCGTTCATGCTCTGTCTCTCTCTGTCTCAAAAATAAGTAAGTGTTAAAAAAAAATAAAAAAAAAACAAATTAAAAAAATAGAATGCTATAAAATTGGCTCTTGAATATATGAAAAAAAAAAATGTTCGATCTCAATAAGAAGAGAAAGGCATTGCAAGACCATACCGAGATCTCATTCTTACCTATTAAACAAGCAAAAATTAAAAGTATAATCATACAATTCTGTTGATGAGGCCGCGGGCAAAAAGGCAAGATCATGCATTGCTGACTGGAAGGCAATTTGATGCATCCGTTGTGGGGGGTGGGGAGACATCTATGTTTGGCTTCGACCCAACGACCTCAACTCTCAGAGTTTATCCTGAAGTCGCACTTCCCACAGAATGGAAACACTCACACACCAGCTTACAAGTAATGGGTTACAACTCACAAAACAGTGACCCATGAGTACGCCGCGATACAACCAATTAATTAAACAGGGGAGAAAAGAAAGCTCTTCCTTACAGGAGAATGCCAAAACTGGCAAACATAGAAGGAGTGGCTGACATTCAGGAAATGCCATTCGAGTACCTCACGAGAGTGACTGATTCAGGCAGAAAAAGCGAATGCCAACGACGGAGGTTTGACAAGGAAACCTCGATGCAATCTTGGATTACCTCCCCACAAGACACTCATCAACCTCAAAAGGAAAATCCATGAATTTTAAGTGCAGCTATCTGGCAGATAACAATGCGAGCAGGTGATCAAGGTCAGCATCGCCAGTGCTGGGAGAGTTTGCAGCATATGCGCGCTTCCCGATATGACTGACACAGCACAGCAACATTTCTCAGGCATTCCTGCCAGAAATGCAAAACGTGAGTCTACACCAGCCAGACCCATGTCTGAACGTATGGTCTGTATTCCCTAAAATTGTCAGAGATATAAAAGATAGGGAAACGCTTTTAGAATGGTTTCCCACGTAAGTCTAAAGAGACAAGACAGCATCCTATCTGTAGCTAATTACCCAGCAACTCGGGTACTATGCCTTAATCCGTCTACACCCCTACATTCCTGTGGTCAAGTACATGGCTTTGAAAATCCTCGAGAGCGACCACGCCCCCATTCAACTTTCCAAGTCCGCCCAACGTCAATGTAAGATTTTGGTCCTTTCAGCAGGTTGGGCCCTATTAATCGTTCACCGCTAACTCTGGACCTCGCAGCACAAGAGACGGGCTTTTCACCTGACCCTGAAAGGGTTGCGTTGACGACAGCATAGCTGGGGCTGGGGGTGGCAACGAAGCCTTTAGACAGAAGAGCACCTCTGAAATTATGGGAGCTCGCTGAAAGGCTAGAATAGGCAGGAGAGGGCAGAAACTCTAGGACGGGGTAGAGTCGAGAAACTAATGCGGGTTGTTAGAACGCACGTGTTCACAGCGCCGGCCGAGCCAGGGGCTAGGGAACAGCAGGGCACCACCGCGAGCAGACGGAAGGGCACCGCCCACTCCGGGGCCCCCCTCACCTCGCCCCGCAGCAGCCAGTCGCGGTGGTAGCAGAGGCGACCTTTGTCGGAACTGCGCAGCGCCTGCAGGGTCTCCCAGCAGCGACCCTCGGACGGCATGGCCGGCCCTGAGGGAGCTCGTCAGAGGCTCCGCTTGTGACAAAACAAGTCCTCGAATCAGCCGCCCGGAAACGGGCGCTCGATTCCGCTTCCGGGGCGCGCACGCAGCCACGCAGGGCAACCCCCGCCCCTAACGGCTGCATGGCCCCGCCTCCGGCGCCGGGCCTGGTAGCCAGCGCGCTTGCGCCGGCAGGAGTTGGTCCCTGAGGCTCGCTTGCTTGTACCTGGGAACCGGGGCTTCTGAAGGCTGGAGACTGCGGATTGCAGAAAGCCCAGTATGTGTTGATGAGGATGTGGAGAAACTGGACCATTGCTGATGGGCTCTAAAATGGGGCAGCGCGGCAGTTGCTCAAAAGGGTAGCCTTGCCACTGACCCAGCAATCCTTTTTTTTTTTTTTTTTTTTTAACGTTTATTTACTCTTGAGACAGAGAGAGACAGAGCATGAACCGGGGAGGGTCAGAGAGAGAGGGAGACACAGAATCTGAAACAGGCTCCAGGCTGTCAGCGCAGAGCCCGACGCGGGGCTCGAACTCACGGACTGCGAGATCGTGACCTGAGCCGAAGTCGGCAGCTTAACCGACTGAGCCACCCAGGCACCCCCCCACCCCCCCAGCAATCCTACTTCTAAGAATGTATATACCAAGAGAAATTGAAATGTGCATCCACACAGAAATTCGTAGAATGTTCCTAGCAGCATTACTCGTAATAGCTAAAAGTTAGAAACACAAATGTCCACCAACTGGTGAGTAAATCAAATAGGGTGTATTCATACAATGGAGTATTATTTGGCCATAAAATAGAATACAAAAGCGTGCTACTACATGGATAAATCTTGAAAAACATTATTCTAAGTGAAAGGACTGGCCACAGTATTGTTGGATTTCATTTTTGTTAATATAACCTTGGAGACTGTTGTTCCCCCGGGGGGTGGGGGGGGGGGGGGGGGGGGGGTGGCTACTAACGCCTATGGGCTTCATTTTGTGTTGATGAAAATGGTCTAGAACTGGATAAAGTTTATGGCTGCACAGCTTTGTGAATATACTGAAAACGACTGAATTACACACCTTAAAAGGATGAATTTTCGGATCTGTTTGAGGTAGAAAATAACATAAACATTTAAATTTTTTATTATCTTTTTTTTTTTTTTTTTTTTTTTTTTTTACAAACTCTCTGTACTGTTTGCAATAAATTACTTTACATGGGGTGCCTGTGTAACTCAGTTGGTTGAGTACCTGGCTCTTGATTTTGGCTCAGGTCATGACCCCAGGGTTGTGGGACTGAGCCTTGTGTTTGGCTCCATGGTGTGGAGCCTGCTTGGGATTCTCTCTATCCCTCTGCCCCTCTTAAAAAACAAACAAAAAACAAAAAACAAAACAAAAAAAGCTTTACAAAGGAAAATACAACATTGTTGAGAGTCTAGCTATAGACTCCAACAGAGGTGTTTCCCACTAGCGGGGTAAATAGTGGTGCCCTGCATGAGGTTTTCATTGGTTTGGCAAAAATGCAAATGAGTTCTACAGACATGTACCACATTGGTGTAAGTTTGCCAACTTCCCTTTCCTGGGGAAGGTCTTTTTTTTTTTTTTTTTTTTTTGGAGAGAGCAAGCAGGGGAGGGGCAAAGTGAGGGGACAGAGGATCTGAACCAGGCTCTGCCCTGACAGGCTGACAGCAGCCAGCTCGATGTGGGGCTTGAACCCACAAATCTCAAGATCATGACCTGAGCCCAAATCAGACGTTCAACTGACTGAGCCACCCAGGTGCACCTTGGGAAGCTCTTTCATATGCTGTAAGTTCAAGTCTGTTGATCATGAAGGCTGTGAAAACAGGCTTGGTTTTTGTGGCAGTGGTAGCTGATGCTTGTTTTTGCAGTGATCTCCCTTGGCAAAATGAAAAGCTGGAAACTACAAATGTCCCCAGAATTTAAGGGGGAAGGAGGTTTCCGGAAGCTGGATGCCTATGTGGGGCCCGTTGCCTTTGTGGACATAGGGGAAGTCTCTGGAGTTTTGTCCTTGAGTTAGAGTAGACAGAACAAGACTGCCATTGCCCGGATGGCAAATACCAGCTAAAACAGAAAGGTTGGGATTCAGCACAGCACCCCATTTGTTCACCTCTCTAAAGAATATGTTGTTCTTTCTTTTAAATATAGGGAAATGGGAAGAGCACAGAAATAGCCCATCATCTTATCATTCAGAAACCAACTAACAGGGGCGCCTGTCTGGCTCAGTAGTTAAGCATGCAGCTCTTGATCTTGGGGTTGTAAGTTCGAGCCCCACGTTGGGTGTAGAGATTACTTAAAAATAAAACCTTAAAATAAGTAAATAAGATCTTTAAAAAAAGAAGCCCAACTATCATTTTCAAAATAGTAATATATACACATCTTATCTCCCTCCATCCTATCCACTCCTAAAGTGCCCCTCCACCCCTAGCCCGCAGACACTGAGCCAAGCCTTACAAAGTGTGTTTCCTCCAGTCATGTCACAGGATTATGTGAAGAAGGTGCACAGGGAAGAAAGAACCGACCTGGGCCAAAGTGAAATGAGAAGCCTCGTGTCCCATGTACCAAGTACTTGTTTACTGGCTCTCCTGCAGCATTGTCTGTAATCATTTTTAGAAAAGGGATGGGGTGGGTAAAAGAAATCATCCAGTGGAGTCTTACATATTGACTAGAAAAGTTTTTTGTAAAACACAACACACATTATTTCCAGAATAAAGGCATTCCATAGATACAAATCTAGCAAACAGAAACACAAACCAATGGGATTGGGATTATACTTTTAAAAGGCCACTGGACACAAGCCCTGCAGTGTCTATTGTGAAGTGCTCAGGGGCAAGTAGCCTTGAGGAAACTTGGGTGTGAGATTTCCACCAGGCGTGGGAGGAGGGCCTTGGGGAAAAACACTGTACCCAAACAGCAGGTGAATGTGCTCACAGCCCAGGACGGGTGGTGAGGACCTCTGGCTAACAGCTCCTGCTGGTGCTGGTCAGAGAAAGCCCAAGAGAGAGATTCCTCAGAAGAGGAGGGCTATAAGGGGACTGGAAGAAAAAGTCCAGTCCGGACATTTGCTCAGGAAAGGAAGGAGCAAAGTCATGGTGAGTTAAAATCTGGTACCCTTAAGATCAGTAGATTTAAGGCCTGTCAAGGTAATTAAAAATTTCCATCAGGTGACTCTGTCAGAGAGGAGAAAACTGAGTGGTTCCTGTTTCACCCCCCTAGTGCTTTAGGGACTTTTCTGGAGTCGGTAGCTAAGACAAGATCCTGAACACATTTCATCAGTGGAAGAGAGAGGAAAGCGGCAGGCTTTCCAGCTGTGGCTTGGCCACTCTTCAGTTCCCAGGACATCAGTTCGGGCTCCTGGCCCAAGACTGGCGGGCTTAGGTGGGAGGAGATCGGGAGCGGATGGGAGAGCTGGTGAGGAAGGTAGTGTAGGGACTGTCCCCAAACACGTTGGCATAAGATGACTTGAGGAACTGGACGTAGTTCTGCATGCTGCGATTGGTGCTCTCCGACTGCTCCAGGCGATCTTTGAGGTCTTGCAGCCGGCTCTGGTAGCGACGGTCAGCCTATGAGGAGCAACAAAAAAGGAGTCAAGTGTGTGAAATGTCCAGGGCGGATCCCTAGAGACTTGGTCAGGGGTTGCCAGGAGCTGAGGGCAGGAGAATGGGCGTGACTGCTAATGGGCACAGGGTTTCTTTCCGAGAAGAGTCTAAACTTAGACTGTGGTGGCAATGGCGCACCTCCGTGAACACACTAAAAAACACAGAATTGTACCATTGAAAGGAGTGAATTTTATGGTATGTAAATGATATCTTAACAAAGCTGTTGATTTAAAAAAAAAAAAAAAGGAATCTGCCTGGGATATCCCTAAGGGATTGGAAAGTGAGTTGAGAAAAATCAAACCATGTCATATTCCTAAAAACCTCCATGAAACACCTTGCCCTGCAGGCCCCAGGAAGCTAAAATCTCAATCCACTCCCTTCTCTCCAGCCCCCGCCCTCCAGCCTGACTCACGTCATCTCGGCTCCGCCGCAGCTGGCTGAGCTCCGTCTTGGTCCTGCTCAGCTGGGTCTCAAGGTCCAGGATTTTGTTCTGGGCAGCTCGCTCCTTGGAGACTGCATGCTCCTTGGTCTGTTCCACCTGCCCAGAAGGCACAGAGGTGGGGCTGGCTTACCTGACACGGGGAGCACCTGGCACCCGGAAGGCTGAGCCACTCCCACTCTGGTCTCGCACATCACTACGGATGGTTCTCTGGTGCCTTGTGGCAGGAGCTAACTCCAGGGACTTCTGCAGCCCACTTCACCTGCCCTTTCCCCACACCCCCAAGAATCATCACCTAAGCTGTGGAAAACCTGGCTGAGTCCCACGCAGGCAGCAAGTGAATGAGCCATCGTGATCAAGTGCCAAAGCCTTTACAGTAATTGCTCATTTGATCCTTGGGACAAATTCGTGAGGCAGGTGCCACTACTGCACCCCCTTTTTTAGATGGGGCAATAGGCTCTGAGAGGTCAGGTGACTTGGCCCAAGGTCACAGAGCTGGTTAGCAATGGATTCAAGACTGACCTGCCTCCTAGCATCTTCGATGGCGCTCTCCAACTGCCTGGCCAGGCTCCCACATTCCCGTGTTTTCTCCTCTAGCCGCAGCTGGGACTGGTGGATCGCTTCCTCCCTCTTGGCAATCACCTGTAGGAACTCGATATTCTGGGCGCTGGTTGCCTCCAGTTTCCTAGATGGAAGCACTTAATCAGATCTGGCTCGTACCCCGACCTGTCCTGTTCCACCCCGCCAGGAGGCTGCCAGCCACCCCTGGGCTGGGGGTCTCATCATGCCAAGAGTCTCCAAGGAACCACAGGAATAAACCAAAGAAACCTGCTGATCAGCAAGGCAGCAAGCAGGGAGCCGAGAAGCCAGGGCAGCTCAGGACTGTGTGGAGAGTAGGCGGGCAAGCACAGACGAGCATGCCTGTTGTTAGTAACACAGCACCTTGCAGCTAAGGAAGGTGGGCGCCACCATTATCCCCACTTTACAGAGGAAGAAACTGAGGCACTGAGGTCATTGGCCCAAGGTCAGCACAGCTGGCAGGTCTGTCACCCAAACCCATGCCCTCAACTTGTGCTCACTGCTGCCCCCTCAGCAGAAGGACATCAGCTGGTACCCCCTCTACTGCTTATGTGATCCACCGGGGGGTCGCAGTGACTCCTGATGGGCACACGTGGTCCCCACTGCAATTCCAGAACACCTTCCAATTGAAAGTTCTGTAAGTCCTGCTGAGTCCAGCTGCATGTTGGAAGCCAGGGGACCAGAGCGGAGCCTAGGAGCCCAGCCCAAGTCCCCACATGCAGGCTGCACGAGCCACCTGGGCAGCCAGAGCATCCCAGGGCCAAAGGCCTTGCATCTCTAACTAAGGCTCCAGCCCTCATTTTACAGATGCTAAGAGCTCCAGAGGAGGGCAGTCAGGGGGCCTATGTCGCAGCTTTGCCAAATACCAGCTGTGTCACCCTGGGCAAGTCACTTAGCCTCTCTCCATGCTCGGTTTCCTCATATTCAACATTGGGATAATAGCAACTAATACACACTAACTATATGGTGCATTTTTCTGTGCCAGATAATGCGCTAAGGCCTTTGAGGATTATCTCCTGGAAGACTTTCGATAACCTCATGAGCTAGATTGTTACCCCTACCTTGATCCCTTTCTCAAGGTGAGTAAACAGAGGTTCAAAAGGGTTCAGTGATTTGCTCAAGATCACAATGCAGGTTAAGTGGCCAAGTTGGGACCCAAGGCCAGGACTTCTGACTCCAAAAGCTGTACTCTTCACCTGACTGCCTCTAATAGTCCATAGGTAAAAGAGAAAAATCAGATCAGAAAGGTCTTGGGGATGGGGCGCCTGGGTGGCTCAGTTGGTTGAGTGACCAACTTGAGTTCAGCTCAGGTCTTGATCTCAGCTTGTGGGTTCGAGCCCCGCGTCGGGCTCTGTGCTTACAACTTGGAGCCTGGAGCCTGCTTGGGATTCTGTGTCTCTTTCTCTCTCTGCCCCTCCCTGACACATGCTGTTTTTTTTTCTCTCTCTCTCTCTCAAAAATAAACATTAAAAAAAAAAAACAAACAGGGGCGCCTGGGTGGCGCAGTCGGTTAAGCGTCCGACTTCAGCGAGGTCACGATCTCACGGTCCGTGAGTTCGAGCCCCGCGTCGGGCTCTGGGCTGATGGCTTAGAGCCTGGAGCCTGTTTCCGATTCTGTGTCTCCCTCTCTCTCTGCCCCTCCCCCATTCATGCTCTGTCTCTCTCTGTCCCAAAAATAAATAAACGTTGAAAAAAAAAAATTAAAAAAAAAAAAAACAGAAAAAAAGAAAGATCTTAGGCAAGGATGATCAGAAATGAAGAGCAGAATGAGGTGGGGGGGGGGGGGGGGGGGGGCACGGGAATGCCCCCTCACCGCCTTATATTGGTCCTGCTGGTTTGCTCGGGTGAAGTGTGCCTTTTTGGTAGGTAGAGCCTATGGGTGGTCTGAACTTGACCACACCGTTCCGGAGCATCCCCCAGTCAAAAGACCATCTTCCTCTCTCCCACAATGCTTACCACTGCAATGGAAGCAGCTTTTCCTCTGGGGTCTGCCCAGTACCTTCTAGGGCCTCGAGTCCCTCAAACACTTCTGCACACTAAGCCCAAAGCAGCTAAGTGGCTGAAAGTCTCAGGTCCTAGGAAGAGGACAGAGATGGGACCAAGTGCCTCTAACCTCTCCAGTTCATCCACCTTCAGACTCAGCTGTTTATTTTCCTTCTGGGAAGCCTGATGTTTCTCTCTTGCCATCTCCAGCTTGTCCCCCTGATGTTCGATCTAAAATGACAGGAACACAGACTGGTTTATGAAGGAACTTCCCTGTGCAGCCCTCCCTTCCCCCTAGGACCTGTCATCCACACCCAGGAGGGAGACACGCTGCCCTCAGCAGGCATCCAAGTCTCAACGCACAACCTGGACGAGAGGGGAGAGTGGGGACAGGTTAGGCCCGACTCCCGTGAAGGCCTTCCCGCACGTAGAGAAGCCAGGTTTGATCCCGAAGAACCACGGCGACGCTTTCTTGATCAGGAGAGGCCACTCAATGGGATCCGGGGCAGACATGAGAAGGCAGAAGCAGATGCTGGGCTAAACTGGCCCACACGACATGCCACAGAGCGTTACCAACTACACTGTCGGCACCGCTGATTTCATTCTCTCTTTAAATGGGGACGAGTACAGGCAACAGGAAACCTATCAAGTCTTTCAGGCTGGCAAGTTTGAGAAGTTATCCAGAGGGCCGCTGTACACAGAAGCGTCAGATATCAGGCTCTCGAGGCCCTGAGAATACTCAGGTTCAAGGGCAGGCAGGCAATTTAAGAGGACTGCGAATGTGGGCTTGGGAAGCAGGTGCAACTGGCTGAGTTCCAAACCCTGGTCACTAACTCTCAGCTCTGGGACCTCAGGAAATTAGGCCTCTATGCCTGGGGCTGCTTTCTGGAAAACGGAGAAAAAGAATATCTACACCTCACAACATTCCTGGGAGAATGCCGGGGGAGAATACTGGCGCACAAAGTCCGTGCTCGAAAAACAATAGCTACTTTTGTTATTACAAGGAAGGAGGTCAAAACGGAGGGAGGGCCTCGCCCAAGGTCCCACTGCAAACGAGAGGCATGTAATTTCTTAGACTGTATGTAGGCAGGATCCCAGTAACCCAGAGGCAGACTGCTTCTGGGAGGAAGGGAGCCCTCTTTCTGGACAGAACCTCAGGCAATGGACCTGGTAAGAGTCGGGAAAGGCAGCTGGAGCAAGAGAACGTTGGGAGAGAGAACATCCCCCCCTCCCCCCAGGCTGGGTGTCTCCCCCTGGGGGTGTGGCCGAGCACTGCAGCAGAGCATGAAGGGCAGAGGGACTCGAAGCACAGGCTGGGGGGCGGGGCAGCACCGGAGAGTGACGGCTCCTATAACTACAATCACTTTGTGCAAACACAAGGCATTTGGCACACCAGACTTTTATTTCACAGCACTGATGATCGCTCACTCCTTTCAGAAAGCAGCAGCCAAGAAAAAGGAAGTGGTCCTCCCTTGGGGGGGGCGTGCAGCTCATCTTGGTAAGCGGGCCCCTGCTCTGGCCAGTTCGTGGGACCCTTTCTGCCAGTCCCTTACCCGGCTGCGCAGGTCTGATATGATGGCTGTGAGGTCGATGTTCTTCCTCTCGTAGCCCTGCAGCTGGTCCTGGCACTCTGCCAGCTTAGCCTCTGTGATCTTGAGGATGTCAGGCAGCTGCTGCAGGTCAGCCAGCTGGGACTGGAACTGCCTACGGGCCTGTAGTGGGGAGAAAAACCCACCGTTGGGAAGGGCCCCCGCTGCTTGTGGGACCAAGCAGAGTCCTTTGGAATTAGGGCAGGGCTGCCGGCGGTCCCCAGAAGAGGATCCTGTGGGACAGCAGGAATGTGGCCTGCCCTCCCCACAGGCCACTGGCAGCGGCAGGCTCTTCTCCAAGGGACACAATGGGCCCTAACTTACCACCTGAGCCTGCCACTCCTTTCGTCATTGAATAACAAAGGCAATCACGTAGCAAATACCAGGACCTTGTTACTCTGCTGAGAGCTCTCTGAACTACTCAATGAATTCATACAACAACCTATCAGCTTGGTGCTGTTGTCCCAGTGGAAGGACTCTAAGGATCAAGGGAGGAAAGTCATTTCCCTAAGGCTGCTCAGCTAGAAACTGATAGAGACAGGGGCGCCTGGGTGGCTTAGTTAGTTAAGTGTCTTGATTTCCGCTCAGGTCATGATCTCACAGTTTGTGAGTTTGAGCCCCACATCGGGCTGCATGCTGACAGTGTGCACTGATAGTACAGAGCTTGCTTGGGATTCTCTCTCTCCCCCCCTCTCTGGGCCCCCCCCCCCAATAAATAAATAAACATTTAAAAAAAAAACAAAAACTGGTAATAGAGCCAGGATTAAGGTCCAGTCTAACTCCAAAGCCCCTAGGAAGGCAATCCCAATGCTACAGCTCAGAGGAGAAGGTCAGAACTCTCTGATTTAGCCCATCCCTGTATTAACAAGGAGACTGGGGGCACCTGAGTGGCTCAGTCAGTTTAGCAACTGACTTTGGCCTAGGTCATGATCTTGTGATTCTTGAGTTCGAGCCCCACATCGGGCTCTGTGCTGACAGCTCACAGCCTGGAGCCTGCTTCGCATTCTGTGTCTCCCTCTCTCTCTGCCCCTCCCCTGCTCAGGCTCTGTGTCTCTCTGTCTCTCAAAAATAAATAAATGTTTAAAAAAATTTTTTTTAACAAAGAGGCTGAGGACCAGATGGGGCAGGGACTTGCCCAAGGCTATGACACAGGTTAGTGGCTGGGCCTGGACTACTCAGTCCATCTCTAAAGGTAACAGTAATGGGAATGCAAGCTGGTGCAGCCACTCTGGAAAACATTATGGAGGTTCCTCAAAAAATTAAAAATGAAACTACCCTACGACCCAGCAATGGCACTACTAGGCATTTCTCCACGGGATACAGGTGTGCTGTTTCGAAGGGACGCATGCACCCCCATGTTTATAGCAGCACTCTCGACAATAGCCAAAGGATGGAAAGAGCCCAAATGTCCACTGATGGAAGAATGGATAAAGAAGGTGTGGTACATATAGACAATGGAGTATTACTCGGCAATCAAAAAGAATGAAATCTTGCCATTTGCAACTACGTGGATGGAACTGGAGGGTATTATGTTAAGTGAAATTAGAGAGTCAGAGAAAGACAAAAATCATATGACTTCACTCATATGAGGACTTTAAGAGACAAAACAGATGAACATAAGGGAAGGGAAACAAAAATAAAAACAGGGAGGGGGACAAAACAGAAGAGACTCATAAATATGGAGAACAAACTGAGGGTTACGGGAGGGGTTGTGGGAGCGGGGATGGGCTAAACGGGTAAGGGGCACTAAGGAATCTACTCCTGAAATCATTGTTGCACTATATGCTAACTAACTGGGATGTAAACTTAAAAAAATTAAAATAGGGGCGCCTGGGTGGCGCAGTCGGTTAAGCGTCCGACTTCAGCCGGGTCACGATCTCGCGGTTCATGAGTTCGAGCCCCGCGTCGGGCTCTGGGCTGATGGCTCAGAGCCTGGAGCCTGTTTCCGATTCTGTGTCTCCCTCTCTCTCTGCCCCTCCCCCGTTCATGCTCTGTCTCTCTCTGTCCCAAAAATAAATAAACGTTGAAAAAAAAAAATAAAAAAAAAAAAATTAAAAAAAAAAAAAAAGATAAAGGTAATAGTAAGATGACCCCTTTGTCTCTAGGGATCCAAGCTGTCTCTAAAAGAATAAGGTTCTTTGGGGAAAGGGGAAGGAGAGGCACATCTTTGGGTTGGTGCAGAACAAAACAGGCATGGCCAAGACCTGGCAGATCTTAGCACCTGAATCCACTTGGATTTGCTCTAAGCAGGGGAGATTATTTTAAGGAAACTGAAGAAGAAAACCAGGAGGAAAACAGCAGCGAGACAGCGAGAGAGAGAGAGAGAGAGAGAGAGAGAGAGAGAGCGAGAGCAGGGAGAAGGCACATACACAGTAGTGTGGACCAGCCCAGCAAGGAGAAAACTCAATTTTCTGGTCGAAATCAAGGAAGCCCAGAGGGACAGACTGGCAGACCCAGGACTGGATGGCGGAAGAAAGCAAGGAAGGGGAGCAGTACCGCTTCGATCTCTTTGTTCATCTCATCTTTAAGGATCTTGTTCTCTTTGTCACAGCGTTCTAGCTGGGCGGCCACTTCATCAGCCTCCAGTCTGGTCTTCATCACCTAGGAGCCGCCAAAGCATTGGGCCGAGTTTCAGTGAAAAACACCTTTCCACCCGACCCTTCCTGGGAGAGGCCTCCTGGCTGACCTCGCGCAGATCACCTACCTGACTCTTATAGTTGTCGATCATCCCTTCATAGTTCTTAACCGACGCCTTCAGCTGCTGCACCTCGATGTGCGCCTGATTGAGCTTGTCCTCCATCGGGGCGAAACTAGCCTAGAAGGGGTGCCTACTGAGTAACCCGCAGGAAGCTTCCCAGAGCAGACAGCCATCCCACCCTCACCTCCCACTGCAAGTGGCCAGCCGGGGGAAGCCCTGACGCCTCACACCCACACCCGAAGTCAAGGTGCGCCAGGGCAACTCAAGTGAAGAAAGAACTTGACCACTGAGCGATGGGGGGCCTAGGGGCACCGACCTCCCACACAATCAAAAATGCACATAGAACTTTTGACTCCCCCGAAACTTAACTATTTCTAGTAACCTACTGTTGACCGGAAGACTTCCCAATAACACATAGGCAATTAATACCTATTCTGTATGCTAGATGTCTTAGATACTGTACTCTTACAATAAAGTGAGCTAGAGCAGAGAAAACGTTGGGGAAATCATAAGGAAGAGAAAATACACGTATAGTCCTGAACTGTATTTATCCAAAAAAAAAATCCGCATATAAGTGGACCCATGCAGTTCAAGGGTCAAGTGTAGATGCAAGAAAGCGACCCCTGTGTTTTCTTGTTCTTATTACAAAAGCAATACATAATTGTTAAAGACTATGGAGGTAAGACCAAGGAAAACTAATTGTGATGCATGATGATTGCACCAAGGGATGTCTTGATTTATGGCTTTCTGTCAGTAGCTGAGTACTTTTTTTTTTTTTTTTCAGCAAGAATGGGATTGATTATATTGTACTTACTGCTTTGCAACATGCTTTTGCAAGTAACAACGATGTTATACCTACTTCTCAAGTCAACAAATGTCCTCCTACAGCCTAAACGTTCACCTCAGTAGATGGAACAAAAGAAATCATTGTATCTCAATACAGTAAAACAATATGCAGTCACTGAAAGAGATAAAGCTAAAAAACAAAACAAAACCAAACAAAACAAAACCCAAACCTGACCTAAAAAGATATCCGCGAAGTATGGTTGAGTGAGAAAAGCAGGCTGCAGAATAATGGGTACGTATGTGTTTGAATGTCTATGTTAGTATTGGGGGAAAACAACTGGAAAAATACCTATGTACAGTTAAGGAAGAACAAGACTTCCGCGTCACATTTGTGCACCGTGGTAAACTTCCACTGTGAACTTTGTAATCATCATCTAAGACAACAGGCTCCTAAAAACATTATTTTGAATGGCCGCACTGTGTTACGCTTCACAGACACACATACTGTAACCAACCCCCTAACCACTTGCTAGGCGTGGGGGCTGACTTTCACTTCCCCAGCAACCGCCCCTCCCCCGCGAGTGGCTCCAGTGGGAAAGGCTGGCTGACGGTACCAAGTGTCCCCAAGGAGTCACGGAGCAACTCTTGCCTTTCACACATCCCTGACGGGAAGGTGAATTTGTACAACTGTCTTATTCTGTGGTGACTTCTACCAAAGCCGAATTTATGCTCGCTATCTGATGACCCGGCAACTCTACCTCAAGGTAGAATTTAATTTGCAAATTCTGGGCGGCTCAGTCGGTTAAGCATCCGACTTCAGCTCATGTCACCATCTCGCCGTTCGTGGTTTGAGCCCCGTATCAGGCTCTGTGCCTGATATCGGGCTCTCTCTGCCTCTCCCCTGCTCGTTGGCTCTGTCTCGCTCAAAACATGAATAAACGTTAAAAAAAAAAATACAAAAAAAAAAAAAACACCAAACAGGTGCACCCAAAGGTACACGAAGATATCCACTGACAGTAGAATGGATAGATCTACTGTGGTGTGGTCGTGCAACAGCAGACCGGACAGCATTAAGAATGAGACCCGTCACACGGCACAGATTGCTCGCAACCATAATGCTGTATGAAAGCCAGGCACAAAATTCAAAACCAGGCTAGCTAACCTGTGGTGACTGAAGTAAGGATAATGGTCACCTTCACAGGGGGGCTTATAAGCAGGTGAGGTCACAGGGGTGCTAATAAGGTTTGGGTCAAGGTGACTGATGGACAAAAATGTGTTCACTTCATGAAAATTCTAGAATGTGTGTACCTTGCCATACGTCATACTTCTTTTAAAATCAATCTGAACAAATAAACCAGTAAAAAAAAAAAAAAAAAAATTAATCTAGGGGTGCCTGGCTGGCTCAGTTGGTTAGGTATGTGACTCTCGATCTCAGGTTTGTGAGTTCAAGCCCCAAGTTGGGTGTAGAAATTACATAAAAATACGGGGTGCCTGGGTGACTCAGTCAGTTAAGCATGCCACTCTCGGTTTTGGCTCAGGTTATGAGCTCAGGTTTCGTGAGTTCGAGCCCCACATCAGGCTCTGTGCTGATGGCGCAGAGCCTGCTTGGGATTCTCTCTCTTTTTCCTCTCTCTCTGACCCTTCCCCACTCACTCTGTCTCTAAACAAATACACTTAAAAAAAATTCTTTTAAAAAAGAAATTACATAAAAACAAAATATTTTAGGGGCACCTGGGTGGCGCAGTCGGTTAAGCGTCCGACTTCAGCCAGGTCACGATCTCGCGGTCCGTGAGTTCGAGCCCCGCGTCAGGCTCTGGGCTGATGGCTCGGACACTGGAGCCTGTTTCCGATTCTGTGTCTCCCTCTCTCTCTGCCCCTCCCCTGTTCATGCTCTGTCTCTCTCTGTCCCAAAAATAAATAAATGTTGAAAAAAAAAAAAAAAACCAAAATATTTTAAAAAATAAATAAACAAGCCCACATGTCATTGTCCAGATCAATTAATAGGATCCAACCTGGCTCTGAAATATGAACCTTGGTTCAGGTGCCTCTCGTCCCTGCTGTGCTGGGTGTATAGCAAGTGGTTAAAAGCCGAAACTCCAGAACGAGAATCGGCTTCAAATCCAAACTCCAACACTTCCAAGGGCAAAATCTGGGCAACAAACCTGACCCCTCTCGAAGCCTGCTTCTTTATTCTATAAAGCAGAGACGACCACCCTATTATCAGGAGGTTAAAGGGAGAGTGGATACACATGAAGGGGCCAGCAGCCCCCCAGGTGTCAGTGTCCTCCTCCGATGGCTGAGTGTGCGTGTTAAGTGTCTCACATGCATTGCCACATTCTCACCAGGCACCCTTTCCTCCTGCTAAGGAAACCTCGGGGACAAAGGATGAACCGTCTAACCCGGGGCCTGTACTAGCAAGAGGCGGTCAGGACTTGAATCCAGGCCCGACTCCGGCGCACGCCCTCCTAATCAGGCTCCTGCCTCCAGGCCCCCTGAAGAACCCCGGGTCATCCTTGGGGCCCCACCGAGAGTACCCCACCAGCAGCGCCACTGTCCTCCACCCATGGTGCCAGCCTGCTCTCACGACAGACCTTCAGCCTCTCGTTCTCTAGCTTGAACGCGGAATACTCAGCAGTCTGCCGGTGTAGTCTCTCCACCAGGCTGTCCCGGTCTTCCCGCATCTTCTCCTCCAATGTTTGTTGTTGGTTTACAAGATCTGTCACCCGGCTGGGAGGTCGCAGAGTGAAAGCAGACAAAGAGAAGCAATTGCATGGGTTCTGAGGAGCCGGGTCTTTGTGTGGCGTGGGCCCAAGGGTTCCTCCCCAGCCAGTCCCATCTCTGTGCCCTGTCTGCCACTGTGGCGTTCCCACGTACCCCACCTCTTCTGACAGCCTTCAGATTGGTCTCCCATTCCACCCCCTCCAAAAGCCTTCTGTGTCCTGATCCTCCCATGAGGCCAAGACACTCCCTAAAGACAAGAACCAGAGACGGGGTCGCTTCCCAGCTCTCCGTGGCACCCCCTGGATCTCAGTCCAGCAGGTCTTAAAGTCAGGACAGAACTCCGAGCCTGGGTGGTCAGGGACACCCCCAGACATTACACTTCCTTGTTCACAGGTGTGAACACTCGCCTAGCACGGGTAGGGACTGCAGTGAATGTATACGGCACGATGGGAGAGAAGCCAACTGCCCCTGCCCTCGCTCTCTCCCCCTTTCCCTCCATCACTCATCAGGGCTATAATCCAGTAACGGAGGACTGTGGCCTCGCAGGAGCATTCGGGCTCACAGACCCAATACAGAACCTTTACACGGTATGTGCTCTCAGTAATGATCAATTACAGTTCATTCGGCAAATATTTGCTAAGCACAGACTAGGCCCAAGCAAACATATCCCGTTGTTTTACCCGGCAATCTCCTCCTCAGCCTTAAAAACCCAGTTCCGGGATGCCCGGGTGGCTCGGTTGGTTGTGTCCAACTTCAGCTCAGGTCATGATCTCACAGTTTGTGAGTTCAAGCCCCACACCAAGCTCTGTACTGACAGCTTGGATTCTGCTCTGGATTCTGGGTCTCCCTCTTTCTCTGCCCCTCCCATCCTCCCTCCCTCTCTCTTTCTCCCTCTCTCTCTCTCTCTCTCTCTCTCAAAAATAAATAAAAACATTAAAAAAATCCAAAACACCCAGTTCAGACTTCCCTTTCTCAGGGCATCTCTTCCCCAATGCCTCTCATCTGTATCACGTGTCCTTCTACCTTCACTATCTGTAGATAATGAGTAGATGCTCAATAAATATCTTTCAAACGAACGAACACATGAATATAGGTGACACTGAGGACGTTTGAATGGTCACTGGTGCCTAGTGGCGAGAAAAGTGTGAGTTCACTCCCCGGCAACTTTAGGCCATTTTGGCCTCCTACTCTGACCTTCTGAGGGCTGGGCAACACAGCTGCCGTTACTGGGCAGACGACAGAGAGACGACATGATTCCGGCCCTCTGGGGGGCGGGGAACACAGCCGCCCTTACTGGGCAAGCCACAGAGAGAAAACATGATCCACCCCCCCCCCCCCCCCCCCCCCCCCCGACACAAGAATGAGGACACCAGTGTGCACGCCCAGTTCCCACGCTGTGCACACCGGGACCCAGCTCAGCCCGGGGACCGGCAACAGACTTAGCCCTGTGTGAGCAGAGAGTTCTGGCCCCTCCACGGCCCCCGCCTGGGCCGCCACACCTCAGCCCAGTGCGGCCCCTGACTGACGACACTACAAGGCAGCCGCGAGGGCGCTGGGGCCCCCCTCAGGCTGCCAGGCTCCTTCCACCCGTCTGCCTGCTTCCCTCATCAGCCCATGCACCGTCGCCTAAACTCACGTACTCATTCAGGACGATAATTTCCAGCTCCAGGTCTCCCTTGTCTTTCACAACTTGATTGTAGCGGCTCCTCCATGATTCCAGAGTGGATAAAGCCTCAGCGACATAAAGATCCTGGCAACATGGGACAACAGGGCCCGTCAGCCAGGGGTCAGCGCTGAAGCCGAGGCAGCTGGGGGCTGGGCTCACCCTGGACGACTCTTCACCCCTGCAGTCCCTTTGCAGAGAGCACCCAGGGTGATTACGTGAGCCCAGCGGCAGCTTCTCGATTTCTAGCCGTCACATGCGCCCTACTCGCAAATCCTTCCTCAACCGTCATTCCCACCCACAAAACTGACATAGGCTAAACCCCCTCTAATCTCTCGTCTCCAGCCAGCCAGCCAGCCACCCCGCTTTCATCCTTTTACCCATTTACTCACCCACTGCCCCCCGCCCCCCCGCCCACCGGCTCATTCACCCTTCCACTATCACCATCCCTCCGCACCCCCACCGCCTGCCGCCACCCCGGCCGCCCTCCGGGAAGGCCTGCCACCTTGTCAGCAAGTTGCACATGCAGCTGCTCAGCATATTCCTCACTCTTCTCAGCTCGTTCCTTCTGGGCTCGGATGGCCTTCTTTAAGGTTTCTTTGTCCCGGTCTCCCTTTTGCTTTAATTCCTTCAGTTGCTCCATGATGGCCTCCACTTCTGCCTTGTGCTGGTTCCCACTGCGCTCCAGGTTCTGGGAAGGAAGGGCCAGGAAGGGTCGGGGGAGTGGGCAGGGGGCAGGAAGAGACAAGAAAGGCAGAGACGGAGGGCAGAGACGAGGAAAGGGGACCAGCGAAGAGAGGGGATGGGGGACAGGGAAAAAGAAAATGGGTCACCAACTGCGTGGGGCCTTAGGGCTCTCTAAATGCAGGCCAGGGATGAGGGCCATTCCCAGCTCTCCGTGGCACCTCTCTGGGTCACTGAACCCATCGGGTCTTAATGTTAGGACAGAACTCTTCCTTCAGCTCCCAGTGCTGTGGTCAGAAGGATCTCTCACTCACTCAGCAGAGCTATGATCTCAGAGGGTCCCTAGCTCACACAGGCAAGCAGCAACTGAGACCGTGCCTTCCCCAGGGGTAGTTAAAAGACCCAAGGACCTAAGGGATTAAGTGACTGGCTCAGGGTCATGGCACCAAACCCGGTCACTCCTGGGAAGGGCACCCAAGGCCTCCCGGGGTCCACTGCTCTTGCCACTGTCCCAGAGTCTCTCTGAGGCAGAAGTGCCTTGGCAGCAAGTGCCCCATAAACCATTGAGGCAAAGCCTTACTGAGTGTGGCTCACCGCCCTGGGACTGCCATGTCCCGGCCCCTCCTTTCCCACCCGTGGGGCCAGCAGGTACCTTGATCTGCATGCACAGGCGACTGTTCTCTGCCTCTTTGCACCGGAGCTGGGCCTGCAAATGCCCCCGCATAGACTCCATGGATTTAGAAAGCTCGGACGCTGTCTTTGCTTGAGCCTTTGGAGAGAGCGAGAAAGTGGCAGAGCCAGCATTTGAACCCAGATTTCCAATTCCAGAGTGCATTCTCCCCACGAAACTCTACTGGCTCATAAGGAGGAGCAACTGTCAGGGATGGTACCTTCTCACATTGTATTTCCTGGAGAAGTTCTTCTACTTCCTTGTCCTTGTCTTGCAGTAGTAATAGCAGGCGCTGGAGAGAACACACACTGTCATGAGCTCCCTGGGAAGAGCAAGGGAGTCAGGCCCAGGGGGGACAGCCACTCCTGTGAGTGCCTGGGCAACAAGGCCCAAGATCCCGACTGTGACTGCCCATGTCCCAGAGACCCTGGCAGGAAGCATCCAATAACTGTATTGAACGTTCAAGACAACAAATACGTATTGATCTTGCAATTTAAGATAAAGTAATGTTAGGGGCGCCTGGGTGGCTCAGTTGGTTAAGCGTCTGACTCTTGATTTCGGCTCAGATCATGATCTCACAGGTCGTGAGTTCAAGCCCCGTATCAGGCTCCATGCCAGGCATTCTTTCTCTCCCTTTCCCTTGGCTCCTCCCCTGCTCACGCTCTCTCTCTCAAAAAAATTTAATTAATTAAATTAAATTAAATTAAATAATATTAGTCATGGGAAACAATGAAAAACAAAACAAAATGCTAAATTAGAATCCCCATAATCCCCCAGGCAAAGAGAACCACTGTTAAAACACATTAAGAAGTCTTGGGGCGTCTGACTGGCTCAGTTGCGCATCAGACCTCAGCTCAGGTCATGATCTCACGATTTGTGAGTTCAAGCCCCGCGTCGGGCTCTGTGCTGACAGCTCAGAGCCTGGAGCCTGCTTCTGATTCTGCGTCTCCCTCTCTCTCTCTCTGCCCCTCCCCTGCTCATGCTCTGTCTCTCCGTCTCTCAAAAATAGTAAACATTAAAAAAAAAATTGTTAAAAAAAAACACATTAAGAAGTCTTATGCAAAAATGTTCCTACAACATTTACCATAATGTGATTAAATCTTCTACACCTTTTGAAACAGCAAGTTAAAGTTTCAATTTACTGATGTATCATAATTTGGTTCCTGGGCTCTCAAGCTGGAGATGCAGATTTAGGCGTTATCCCCTCATGCTGAATCCCCGACTGTCACCTTTGGAGAGGCCTCGGGGGCCGAGCGCCCAACCCTGGGAAAGGTGGCTTTCATCTTCCTTCTCCCTTGGGAGACTCGTGTGGGCATTAATACCTCAAATACTCCAAAAGGTCTTGGGAGTTAACATGGTGAATTTTTTGTGCAGTTTCCCGATTTATGTGACCACAGATCACTCCCTGCTTTTGTTTCTGGCACCCATTAACATCGTCGAGGAACTTAGGGTTCCATGGACCAGCCTTTGGAGCGTGCTTCCTTGGGAGAGATTCCCAGAACTGGAATTGTTGAACCAAAAAGTCTACAATCCATAATGCAAATAAGGAAATTCAAGTAACAGGCTGATGGTTAGTAACTCCATCAGCACGAGCAGCATCCCTCAGGTTGGGTGTTCAGCTTGGTGGTTTCAAGCTTACAAGTGATCAACTAGACAAGCCCAGTGGAGCAGGCAAGGCAGGGGACATCAGCCCATTTTACAGATCAGGAAACTAAGACCCAAAGAAATGTCAGAGCGAGGCTCCGTGTCCCTCCAGCCCCTCTGCTCACTGTCGCCTAAAACCCACTAGATCCGCCAGGGGGCGCTGTGTTACCGCTTTCTCTGAGTCCGCCTCCGCCAGCCTTTTGAGTAGTGCTCCTTGTTGCTCCATTAGCCTTTCGGAATCCTTCAAGGGAAGGCACACAGGTCGTTAAGCAATGAACCCAGATGTCTACATCCTATGGATTCTTTCCCTTTTCCAAAACTTACATTTTCCAATTATAGGAATCATAAATAGATTGCAACCTCATTATAAAATAATCACCCTCATCCACCTCCAAACCCCACCCCATTGTTACTAGTTTGATGAGTGTCCTGCCTATCCTTTCTCTACGCATTTATATATAGCTACACCTAGAGAAATGTTATCTTTTGGGGGGTTGGGATGCGAAGGGATTTATGAGTGATTTGACCCAAATGATAGCATATTGTATTTTTATGCTACAACTTGGTTTTTTATAAAGAGCTTGAGGGATGCCTGGCTGGCTCAGTGGGTGGGGTGTGCAACTCAATCTCGGGATTGTGAGTCTGAGCCCCATGTTGGGTGTAGAGATTATTTAAAAATTTTAAAATCTTGAAAAAAAAAAAAAAAAACAAAAGCTTTATTGAGCTGAAAATTCAGAAACCATACCCATTTAAAAAGCACAATTTAGGGGCGCCTGGGTGGCGCAGTCGGTTAAGCGTCCGACTTCAGCCAGGTCACGATCTCGCGGTCCGTGAGTTCGAGCCCCGCGTCAGGCTCTGGGCTGATGGCTCGGAGCCTGGAGCCTGTTTCGGATTCTGTGTCTCCCTCTCTCTCTGCCCCTCCCCCGTTCATGCTCTGTCTCTCTCTGTCCCAAAAAAAATAAAAAACGTTGAAAAAAAATTTAAAAAGCACAATTTAGGGGCACAATTTAGGGGCTCAATCGGTTAAGCTTCCAACTCAGGTCACGATCTCGTGATTTGTGGGTTCGAGCCCCGCATCAGGCTCTGTGCTGATAGCTCAAAGCCTGGGGCCTGCTTCAGATTCTGTGTTTCCCTCTCCCTCTGTCCCTCTCCTGCTTGAGCTCTCTCTCTTTTCTCGCAAAAGTAAATAAATAAACATTTTTAAATAAATAAATAAATAAAATGCACAATTCAATGTTTTTTGGCACTCTCCATTATTAATTTTTTAAATTGTGGTAACATATCGCTAACATAAACCATGCCATTTTACATTTGGTTAAGTGTAAAATCCAGTGGCATATATAGTATATCCAAATATTGTGCAACCACCACAACTCTCCAGTTCCAGAACATTTCCATCATCCCAACCGAAAGACCCGTTAAAACACTCTCCTTTCCCTCCTCCCCTAGGCCCCTGCAGCCACTAATCGGCCTTCTTTCTCCAACAGGCCACTGCATTTTTAACCTCTCCCCTTGCACAGCCTCTGGGCAAGGAAGCTGTTCCCAGGTTGCATAAATGCAAACACTGTAGCAATGTACTGTGCTGGGCCAGACGTGTACCAAGTGTCTCTCTCCAGGGTGGAGAGAGGCGGCATGCCTGGGCCAGAAGGTCTGTGATCTGCGGCAGCTGAAATGACCTACAAAATGCCTGCACGGATTTGCATAGCCACGGGCAGGAGGAGGGCCCTGGGTGGCGGCCAGTCTTTCCAGCAGACTCCTGCTGCTTTAGCTTGCATTTCCCCCATCACTCAAGTTTATCAGCCACTGAGCTCCCTCTTCTTCCCCGACTGCCTGCTCACACCCTTGCCCATCTCTCCCAAACAGGCCGTGTCTGAGAACCATCTCTACTGTTCCGTAGAAGGGGGCCCGGCTCGCCTTCCCTTTTCCTCTCAGGCTCACAGGTCCCCTTCACAAGCCATGGCAGGGCTGGGAGTGGAGAGAGGCCAGCATCATGGTTTCTCCAGCAACAGGAAGAGGCAAAGAACACGGGATGAAAGTTAAGGCCTGTAGCTCCTCTCACTGTCCTTTACGCCGTGTCCTCCGAGCCTCCAGGGGGACACTACACAAACGAACACACAACTCTCACCAAATCCCCCATTCTAAGGAGCCATGGACTATGACCACCCCCATTTTAGAGAGGAGGAGATCGAGGCTGGGAGAAGTGAGGTGAGCTGCACGACATCACACAGCTGGAAATGGCAGCGGTGGGCCCTAAGCCAACCGACCCCACAGCCAGAGCAAACTCTCATCCACTGAGCATCCCGAGGAAGCACAGAGATGGGGGGTACTGTCCCAAGAGCCATGGGGGCAGGGGGAGAGGAGAGCCCAGACTCAACAGAGAGTAGCCGCTGTGGGTGGGAGTCCAGATTAGCTAACCCTTCATCTCCAACGGGAGATTCTGGGATTCTAGGACAGTAGAAGCTAAGGGGTCAAAAAGGAGACAAATTGAGTAGGAAGAGGTTTGTCTGGAGGCCCCAGTCCCAGGACAAACAGCAGCAGCCCCTACCACACCAAACAGCTATCATGTGCCAGGCAGTATGCCAATCCCCCATCCATGTCCTCACGTGATACCACGTGGAAGACGCTATTCCCATTTCGCAGGTGGGAAAACTGAGGCCCAGAGAGGTTAAAAATTGTCCAGCCAGGAACACCTGGTTGGTTCAGTTCGTTAAGCCTCCAACTCTTGACCTCAGCTCAGGTCATGATCTCACGGTTTGTGAGTTCAAGCCCTCTGTCAGACTCTGCGCTGACAGCACAGAGCCTGCTTGGAATTCTGTCTCTCCCTCCCTCTGCCCCTCCCTCCCCCTCTCTCTTTCTGTGTCTCCTCTCTCGCAAAATTAAAAAAAAAAAAAAGCAGTTAAAAAAATTGCCCACCCAAGCATATTGAGCCAGGCATTAAACAGGTATTAACTATTTTAAGAGAGTAATTTAGCTATAACTAATAAAACCGATAGAAATATATTCTAGAAACTCTCAAATACACCAGGATAGTATACACGAATGCCCCAAATAACAGTGCTTATTTAATAGCAAACAACTGAAAATACACCTCCATCAACAGAAGAAAGGATAAGTTGTGGAGTAGTCATAAAATGGAATATAGTGAAAATTAACTATCTTAGGGACAAAACCGGATGAATCTTATAAAAATATTGAGTGAAGGGGTGCCTAGGTGGCTCAGTTGGTTAAGCGTCCAACTCTTGATTTTGGCTCAGGTCATGATCTCATGGTTCGTGAGTTCAAGCCCCACATCGGGCTCTGGGCTGACAGTGCAGAGCCTGCTTGGGATTCCCTCTCTCCCTCTCTCTGCCCCTCCCCCATTCTCTCGCACATGCACTCTCTCTCTCTCTCTCTCTCCCCCCCCTCAAAAATAAATAACATTAAAAAATATTTTTTGAGGGGCGCCTGGGTGGCGCAGTCGGTTAAGCGTCCGACTTCAGCCAGGTCACGATCTCGCGGTCTGTGAGTTCGAGCCCCGCGTCAGGCTCTGGGCTGATGGCTCGGAGCCTGGAGCCTGTTTCCGATTCTGTGTCTCCCTCTCTCTCAGCCCCTCCCCCGTTCATGCTCTGTCTCTCTCTGTCCCAAAAATAAATAAACGTTGAAAAAAAAAAATTTTTTTTTTTTTAAATTTTTTGAGTGAAAAAAGCAACTCAGAAGAACACCTATGGAACAATATCATTTATGTAAGGTTTGAAAACATGCAAAACAATACTATATGTTGCTCAGATATATATGTAAGTGATAAAAAACTATCACATTGGAGAGAAAGGATCCCTCTGATAAGCTTATCATCAAAGGAGACATTTAATGACTCGGACAAGATTTTGTTTAGAAGCCTGGTCTGTGAGCACACGGCTTATATTCCTTATTTTACATACTCATTGGGGGGCACCTGGCTGGCTCAATCAGTAAAACAACAACTCTTGATCTTGGGGTTGTGAGATCAAGCCTCCCATTGAGTGTGGAGCCTACCTTGAAACTAAATAAACAGGGGTGCCTGGGTGGCTCAGTCGGTTAAGCATCGGCTTAGGTCTCATGATCTAACTTCAGCTCAGGTCATGATCTCGCAGTTAGTGAGCTCAAGCCCCACATCAGGCTCTGTGCTGACAGCTCAGAGCCTGGAGCCTGCTTTGAATTCTGTGTCTCCCCTCCTCTCTGTCCATCCCCCGCTCATGCTCTGTCTCTCTCTCTCTCAAACATAAAATAAACATTAAAAATTTTTAAATTAAAAAAATTAAATAAAAATTTAAAAAATAAACACAATGAATTAAATACTAATTTTTAAAAAATAAAACAAGAAGTTCACAATGCTAAACATAAAATAAAATAAAATAAAATAAAATAAAATAAAATAAAATAAAATAAAACAAAAGACACTATGGTCTCTTTGATTTGAACCAAACAGGAAGATGGCTGTTTTTGCCATCAGTCTTTCCAGAATCATTTGCTAATATAGAATATCTTTCAGAGACCATTTTTGAAGAAAAGTGCAGCCCTACCGTTGGTACTAATCATTACCCGTCCTCCATTTAACCAGGGGCCGAGCCCATCCCGGACTCCTCAGGTCCTTCCTGAGCCACCAGGTCCAGCTTTGACAACCAAGGCAGCACCCGTCAACCGGGGTGCCCAGCACTTCACGTGAACGTCTCGTCAGGTCAGGCCAGGCACTGATAGTACGTTCATTTCCCAGACGAGGAACAGGGGGGAACAGAGGCTCGGAGCAGATGGGCCCTTGGTGCCACGGGGTGCGGCTGAGTCCAAGCTCACCTCTTTGCAGTGCTGTTCCCTCAGCAGGTCTCGGAGGGTGCGGTTGGTCTCCTCAAACGTGCTCAGCTTCTGCAGGAGAAGTTCCTTCTGCCTCGTCAGGGTGTTGATGTCCGTGCAGGTCATTTGTTTCTCCTGGAAGACAGCAGGCAGTCTTACATGGTGCCAGGGAGAAGGGAGGAGCCAGGCCCCTTTTAAGAGGTGCTGGTGCCAGGAAGCCCAGGTGAGAAGCCCAGCGCTGTGTACAGGGCCGGAGCGGTCAAGGGCAGGCTTCCCAGAGGAGGTGGGCCTGCAAGGATGGGGCAGGAGCTGAGAACGACAAGGGACAAGGGCCGGGGCGCCCAGCATGGGCAAGTGCAGTTAAGGCAGGCTTCCTGGAAGAAGAGGAGGAGGAGGACGACACCTGGTGGCCGATACTCGCAGGAATCAAACTGTGGCTGACACTTGCAGGAATCAGACTTAGGCCTTGACTCACTGTGATCCCAGGAGACCCATGATGAGGTCAACTCAGAGCCCCTGGCCACCACAGGTCATCCTCGGGGATCAGGCCCCAGAAGTAAGAGTGGGGGTGGGGCTCGAGGAGTCCAGTGTGCCCTCCCCTGGCCTGGAGATGTCATAAAGTCAGCCTGATGACTGCGTACAGACCCCTCCCCGGCTTGCAGCTTGCCCCTTTCTGGGCCCAGTCCCAGGGCTGAGTGGTTCTCTGCCTGCCACCTACTGTCTTCAGCTTCCCGATGGTGTCCTTCAAGGCCATGACTTGCTTGGCAGCAGCAGCCCCATCCATTTCAGCCTCTACCAACTTGGACATGAGGCACTCCTTCTCCTGCTGGAGGTGTTTCTTCTGAAGCCTGGGGCCAGAGAGAATAGGGCTCTGTGAGCCCTCCCAGGCCGCGGCCCACCCGGAGCTCTGGGCTCGCCTCACAATGCCCTGCGAGGCTCATCTCCTGGCCAGGGGACAGTGGGGGAGGGGGAGGGATGGCCCCGGGAGGCCACCTGGGCCCCACAGCAGCGCCTTCACGTCAGGTGACGTTATGGCATCTGTGGCCCTGCTTGCCTCTTGGTCATTAGCATCATCTCTGTCCCTGGCCATTGCCACAGCCTCGAAGCCACCACCGTCAGATCCGCTTCTGAGCCTCCCATCCACTCTTCACACCAGAGCCAAGCCTGGCCGCACCGCGCCCTGCTTTGAACACCCCTCCACGGCCGCTCAGTGGAAACCCCTTCAAGCGACCGCTAAGAGCGGCCCCTGCCAACCTCCATGGCGCCCCTTGCCCTCTGCCCACCCCCTCTCCTCCTTCCTGCCTGTCTTCCATTTCTCAGTTGCAAACTCCTCCCTGGGGGCTTTCACTCGAGATCCAGCATCCTTTCTTCCCCAGCACCTACTGCCCACCTCCCCTACCTACTCTGCAGGCGTCTCCCTAAATGTTGCTTTTTCCGGAAAGGCTTCCCTGCCCCCGCTGCACTCTCTGGGGGTCCTCGTCTCCCCTCACAGCATGAACCACGGGCGCCATAGGGTAGCTAGCCGTGTGACTGCCGGACAGCCGTAAGCCTGGGTATGCTGTGACCCGGGGGCAGCGCCCGGGCCCGCCTGGTGGGAGGAGCACACTTTGGGGCAGGGCTGCCTTACATGGTGAAGTCCTTCTCCTCCTTGATGCGCTCGATGTTGTGCCTCAGCACCGTGTTCTCGTGCTCCGTCTCGGCCAGCTCATGGGCCACCTCCTCCAGCTCCTCCTTCCGCTCCTCCAGGAACCTTTTGGCCATCTGGCGCTCACCTTTCTGCATCTTGACCTGTGCAGGGGCACGCAGGCAGGGGCCACTGAGGGGAGGTTCCTCCTCCGTACATCGCCAGGCCCATCACTTTGGACCAGAGAAGGGCGCCTCCGACTGACAGACACATAGGTCACTTAGGTCCACTTGGCTGCGACCTCAGTTAATCATCACACAGACTCTCTGGGCGGACGCTACTCATCTCGTTTCCTCATGACAGAGAAAACCGAGTACACAGAGCCTAAGTGACTTGCTGGTTGGGGACAGGGCCAGGATACAGACTGTGGTTCAGCTGGCACACCGCAGGAGAGATGTCACAAAAAGGCCCACGCACTGCGGGCTGTGGAGAAAGGGCTTGCCAGGTGGCCAGCCCCAGGTTCCCCAGGAGGGCCCACGGGCCCCAAGTGCAGGGTGGGGGATTAAAGACACAGGCCACTTTAGCACTCGAGACCCGAACTTTACGCCAGCTCCGCCACCCTCCCGGTTGGGGGCCAGGGACTTCCAGGTCGTTTCCAATTAAGGGCATGGCCCACCAACTGAGGACAAACTTCCTTCACCTCTTTGGGGCTTTGTTCTTTTTTTAAAACTTTTGTGTCAACTGGGAAACAGAGGTCCCAGCGTCCCAATCACTTCGTCTCCAAAACGGGGACAATAACACCACCGGCTTCATTTACTGTTGGGCCAGATCAAACCAGGGCTTCCGTACAGAGCACCAGGAGGGTCGGGGCCACGCCTGGGCTAAGCGCTTGATGGAGAGGGGTCCCAGGTTGCCCCGGCTACCTCCCCAGTGGCATCTAATGCCCTGGGGCAGCCTGCTGGGAAGGGCAGGAGGCCTGCGGGCAGACAGCCTGAAGGAAGCAGTCACCAGGACCCGCTGTCCTTCACACCCTCAGGCCAACAGCTATTTTACCCCCTACCTCCCTCACCTCAGACTTGAGACAACCGACCGCGTTCATTAGACTGTCAATCTTCTTATCATAACGGTTCATTTTACAGTGACCCGAGTCGTCATCTTCTGTAGAGAGGTCACTTAACCGCATCACCGAGACCAGCTTTTCTGAAGATGGTGGCGTGATCTCCAGGCAATGAGGCGGATTCTGATGCAGAGGAGGGAGAGACACGTGAACTCATAAGGCAAAGCCACAGCCATCAGCTCCAGAGCCACCTGCTTGTCCAGGGGAGGCAGGAAGGGCTAAAATGTCGAGGGCCGACCACAGGGACCTCAGGACGGAGAGCACACCGCGCCTTCTCGATGGACATTACCTACCCCTGTTTACGTGATGTTTCTGAAGATTTTCTACCAAGAAATAAGCCTGTGTTACAATGTCAAGTTTAAAATAAAGGATAGAACAAACTGACAAAAATAGTCGCAATACCCAAGATGGCAAAAGATTGGGGCGATAGATGTTTTCATATACCAAAGGCAGAAGTGAAGTATGTCAAAAGCCTTTTAAATGAATATGAATGCATGACAGTGGACAGTTGCAGGTACCCCACATCTGCTATAAAAGGTACTTTAGGGACGAGTGGGTAAATGTGACGTGGACCAGATAGATGATAAGAAGAAATAAAGTTTTTAGGACTAATCATTGTTATTTTGGTTACAAAAAAAAAAAAAAAATTAGAAACACATACTGAATACTTGAGGGGTAGAATGGTATGATGTCTGGAAATATTTAAATACATCAGCATAAAAACATATTTTTTAAACAAAATGCAAGTGCCCCCCTGAAAAGATTATGTCAAGCTGCATGACTCTTTGCTTGTAAGATTCCAGGAAGAAAGACATTATAATCTGGGAGCCAGGGTTTCCATGGGTTTTGATATGTTCAACTTGACTCAGTCTCCAGGTTTATTCTGGTGCATTAAGTACTTGCTATTTCTTATTATTTGTTCAGTTCTGTGCTCCTTTCAAGCTCAAGTGCCAGATATCAGGAATAAAGGTATTCAATACTGAGTATAATTCAGGGCGCCTGGGTGCTTAGTTGGTTAAGCGTCATGATTTTGGCTCAGGTCGTGATCTCACGGTTCATGAGACTGAGCTCCACATGAGCACAGAACCTGCTTAGGATTCTTTCTCTCCCTCTCTTGGGCCACCCCTCCCTCAAGCACATGCTCTCTCACTCTCTCTCAAAAATAAAATAAACGTTTAAAAATGAAAAAAATAAGAGTGTGACTCTAATACCAGACAAGTAGGACTTTCAGGGTACAATTTTAAAAATGCATGTGGGGGCGCCTGGGTGGCTTGGTCGGTTAAGCGTCCGACTTCGGCTCGGGTCATGATCTCGCGGTTCGTGGGTCTGAGCCCCGCGTAGGGCTCTGTGCTGACAGCTCAGAACCTGGAGCCTGTTTCGGATTCTGTGTCTCCCTCTCTCTCTGACCCTCCCCCGTTCATGCTCTGTCTCTCTCTGTCTCAAAAATAAATAAACGTTAAAAAAAAAAAATGCATGTGCCCTTTGTCCCAGAAATTCTATTTCTAGGGACTTATCAAGAATGTCTAAGAATGTGAATCAATAGTTAATATCAAGGCAAGGATAAAGATAAATGTATGACAAGATAGTATTGGTTAAATACATCGTGGTACAAATATACCCACAATGGAATACCGTCTTTAAAAAAAAAAAAAAAAAGCAAGCTACAACATAAATACAATCAGAGTGTGTTCAAAAAGAATACATTAAGTAATCCCACTGTTACAAAAATCAAAACAAGGAGTCTCTTTGTAAGAAAAGATCAGGAAGGCTTCCACCTAGAAGTTCCAAGGCGGTCAGGCACCTGTGTGGTTAAGTCAGTTAAGTGTCTGACTTTGGCTCAGGTCGTGACCGCTGGGTCCATGAGTTCAAGCCCTGTATCAGCCACGCATTGGGCTCCCTGCTGTCAGCACAGAACCAGCTTCAGCTTTGGATCCTCTGCCCCCTCTCTCTACCCCTCCCCTGCTGTGCTTGCATTTGCTCTCTCCCTCAAAAGAAAAAAAAAAAAAAAAAGTTCCAGAGCTCTTCTCAGAGTGTTGGGATCACAGGTGTTTTTTTAACTTTCTTTCTTGTGCTGGTTTGGATTTTCTAATTTTTCAACAGTGACTGCAGATTGCTTTTTTAAGAAAAAAAAGTTGGCAATATTTAAAAGGAGGGTAATACGGGGCGCCTGGGTGGCTCAGTCAGTTGGGCATTACACTTTGGCTCAGGTCATGATCTCATGGTCTGTGAGTTTGAGCCCCATGTCGGGCTCTGTGCTGACAGCTCAGCGCCTGGAGCCTGCTTCAGATTCTGTGTCTCCCTCTTCCTCTGCCCCTCCCCCACTGTGCTCTGTCTGTCTCTCTCTCTCTCTCAAAAATGAATAAATGTTAAAAAAGTTTTTTACAAACAAATAAAATAAAAAATAAAAGGAGGGTAATAGGACAATATATAGTATGATAACAATGGTATTTTAAAACCCAAAAGTATGCATAGGAAAAAGTGTGACAGTAAATGTACCAAAATATTAGCAGTCTCAGGAGGGTGGTTCCCCACAGGGGTGGTAATGACAGCATTAGGACCAGAGGGGAGCTTCTGGGGAAGCTCATGATGATGTGGTTTCTTAAGTGGTGTGGTAGTTAGTTACACAGATACAGTCAGTTTGTAAAAATTCATCAGTCAAGCAGTATACTCCTGATGTGTGTACTTTCCTGCACTTTTTAAGAAAAAGCTTTTAAAACTTAATAGCAGTCACATTAAAGTAGTAAAGTGACAGGTGATGGTTTATTTTTCTGAATTTTCAACTTTTCATAACAAAAACAGATCACTTTTAAAAATAGGGTAGAAGGGTGCCTCGGTGGCTCAGTCGGTTGATCGTCCGACTTCAGCTCAGGTCATGATCTCACAGTTTGTGGGCTCGAGCCCCACCTTGAGCTCTGTGCAGGCAGCTCAGAGCCTGGAGCTTGCTTCGAATTCTGTGTCTCCCTCTCTCTCTGCCCCTCCCCAACTCACATTCTGTCGCTCTCTCAAAACTAAATAAACATTCAAAAAAAATTTTTAAAATAATAAAAATAGGGTAGAGAAAAAACCCACGCCTCCTTTCTCCCAAAGGCAATCAATCTTATATACCAGAAGGGGTTTTAAAAAAATCGAACAAGGGGGCACCTGGGTGGCTCAGTTGGTTAAGCGACCGACTCTTCATTTTGGCTCAGCTCATGATCTCACCGTTGGTGAGATAGAGCTCCACATCGGACTCTGTGCTGATGGCGTGGAGCCTGCTTGGGATTCTGTCTCTCCAATCTCCCTCTGCCCCTCTCCCACGCTCACTCTCTCTCTCTCTCTCAAAATACATAAACATTTTTTAAAAAATCAAACAAGAACCCCCACGTGTACACAGCAGCTTCTGGGGTCCACATCCAGCTCACCCCACATTTCCTTTCTCGCTTGCCCATAATGGGAAAGGTCAGGCTGGGTCTTCCCAGAAACACAGAGTACCACTGGGAAGGAGAAGGGCACTGGCTCAAGGGGACATCATGAAATACAGCTGCTGAGACAGAAGTCACCTCTCTGAGCTCCTCCATTTCTAGGATTCTGGGGCCCCAGAACTGAAAGTAGGCCAGGGAGGACCACAGGTCCTAGCAACCTAGGTCAGTAGGGAAGCCAGTTTCCATAGTGGCAGATCTTTAATGTAGACTTCAAAAACTACTAAGTCTTCTGTTTTTTAAAAAAGCATTTTTAATTATAAAACATAGTATGCTTGTTATAATGAAATTCAAGCAGACAATAAAAAATAAACCTTTAAGGTTTATTTTTAAACCTTTAAGGGCCCCCCAACCCCAGAGGTGGTCACTGCTTACTACTTTTTATTTATCTTTCCAGAAAATGTTATACATATACAAACACACGTATGTACACATGGATACAGACCTCCTGTTTTTTTCTTCTTTTCAAGGTAAGCTCTACGCCCAACATGGGGCTCGAACTCAAGACTCCAAGATCAAGAGTCACATGCTCTGAGGCATCTGGGTGGTTCAGTAGGTTAAGTGTCTGACACTTGATCTAGGCTCAGGTCATGATCTTGAGGTTCATTAGATCAAGCCCTGAATCGGGCTCTATACTGACAGCAGGTATTCTGTCTCTTGCTCTCTCTCTGCCCCTCCCCCTGTCACTCTCCCTCTGTCAAAATAAACCTAACAAAAATAAAGAAAGAAAGAAAGAAAGAAAGAAAGAAAGAAAGAAAGAAAGAAAGAAAGAAAGAAAGAGGGGTACCTGGGTGGCTCAGTCGGTTAAGCACCCGACTGTGGCTCAGGTCATGATCTCCCAGCATGTGACTTCGAGTTCGCGTCGGGCTCTGTGCTGATGGCTCGGAGCCTGCAACCTGCTTCTGATTCTGTGTCTCCCTCTCTCTCTGCCCCTCCCCCACGCGCACTGTCTCCCTCTCTCTCAAAAATAAACATTAAAAAAAAAAAGTCACATGCTCTGCCTACTGAGCCAGCCAGGTGACCCACAGATGCCCTTGTTTGGACAAATAGGGCCAAACTCCACCCGCTGTGCAGCTCCGTGCTTCATGATCATGTATGAATATCTACGTACATCACTGTAACAGTTGTATGGTATTCCACTGCATAGATATATCACAATTTAACCAATACCCTCCTGATAGACATTTAGGTTGCTTCCAAAATTTCTTTCTTACAAACATCTTTATACATGATATCTGTACTCATGTACCCCAGCTCAGTCGGTTAAGTGGTTAAGCGTCCAACTCTTGATTTCGGCTCCGGTCATGATCTTGATGTTTATGAGATCGAGCCCTGCATCGGGCTCCATGCTGACAGCAGGGAGCCTGCTTGGGATTCTCTCTCTCTGCCCCTCCCCTGCGTGCTCTCTCCCCCTTTCTCCCAAAAGAAACTTAAAAAAAACCCAAAAAACAAAAAAATCCCTATAATATCAATTCCTAGGTATAAAACTACAGGATCCCTGGGGTGCCTGGCTGGCTTAGTCAGTGGACTGTACAACTCTTGATCTTGGGTTCATGAGTTCAAACCTCACACTAATTGCAGAGATTACTTAAAAATAAAAAAATCTTAAGAAATATTTTTTAAAAATAAAACCTAGCATCAATGTTTACATACGTGCCCCAGAACTGTTAAATGATTTCACCAATCCTCTCAAAACGGTGTAAAAAAGTTTGCTGACTTCTCCTACCCTTGCCAACATATCAGTAAGCTTTTCAATTACAGTATATTCCATTCAATAAAAATGACAGCTTGTGTTTTAAAACATAGTTGTTTTTCATTTACATCTAACTGATTAGTCAGGTACATGTGGTAAAAAATGGAAGACAGCGTTTTAATTCCAAGCTTTCTTTCCCTCTTGTTTAAAAGGCATTAAAATTTTTTTAAGTGTATTCATGTATTTATTTAACTTAAAAAAAAATTTTTTTTAATGTTTATTTTTTTATTTTTGAGAGAGACAGAGTGCAAGAGGGGGAGGGGCAGAGGCAGAGAGGGAGACACAGAATCTGAAGCAGGCTCCAGGCTCTGAGCTGTCAGCACAGAGCCCGATGCGGGGCTCGAAATCACGGACCAGACCGCGAGATCATGACCTGAGCTGAAGTCGGACGCTCAACCGACTGAGCCACCCAGGCGCCCCTTATCTAATTTTTTTAATGTTTGTTTATTTTTGAGAGAGAGAGCGTGCAAGTGCTAGTCGGGGGCGGGGGGGGGGGGAGACACAGCAGCCTCTGTGCTGTCAGTACAAAGCCCAAAGTGTGGGGCTCCAGAAGCCAAGAGCAGGACGCTTAACCAACTGGGCCACCCAGGCGCCCCTAATTCCAATCTTTCTTATGTAAATACACACACACACACACACACACACACACACACACACACAAACACACACACTGGTTAGAACACTTCTCATTTATTCCCTAGAATACCCCATTCTCCCTTTATCTCTTAGGGAAAACTGATAAATCAGGGAGTCAAACTCATGAAGTAGGACTTCAGAGTAATTACTTTCACTTTTTATTACTACTTTTATTTATTTATTTTTTTTTAATTTTTTTTTTTCAACGTTTATTTATTTTTGGGACAGAGAGAGACAGAGCATGAACGGGGGAGGGGCAGAGAGAGAGGGAGACACAGAATCAGAAACAGGCTCCAGGCTCCGAGCCATCAGCCCAGAGCCCGACGCGGGGCTCGAACTCACGGACCGCGAGATCGTGACCTGGCTGAATTCGGACACTTAACCGACTGCGCCACCCAGGCGCCCCTATTTCTACTTTTAAAAGTAATAAACTATCAAAAACAAAAAGAAGTAACAAACTACCAGCAAAAGACTGTTTCAAAATGGCAGGCATCATCTGGAAGCAGCCTCAGGTCCTTTTTACCTGCCCCAATAATGAGACCTTTGTCTAAAATGCAGCCAAAAGGTCTTGTCTCGTCACTGACGTTTCTTGTTGCAATTGACTAGAGTGTAAGCCTAAGGAGGGTGCACCTGCCAGTCTGCGGCTGTCACCCCAGTGCCCGGCAGTGTCTGGCCCAAGTCTCGATAAGTGTCATGCCGCAAGAATCACCGCGTGGACGGACGGACGGACACGCAAAACACGTTGAGGACGGTAATTCTCTTGGCACCTTCACAACTCATACGGAAGGCAATGATTAACCAGTTCCAGAAGCGGCCTGGGGGACAGCTGTGGAATACACGCATAATCTCTCGTGGGGACTGCCTCGAAAGAGGCGGTGCTTTCTTAGATAGGCACGTTTCTGGTACACGTTTAAGTTACGCTTCAGATACGGTCCCAGTCACACGGGAAAAGACGTGGCTCCACACGTACAAACCAGAGAGGCCAAGGGTGCACCCTTCAGCATGAGACAGCCCTGAGCCCCAACTGAGGCTCTGCTGCTGCTTTCTCTGGGACCTCACCTCTCGGAACCTTGCTTTCCTCATCTGTACATTGGGAGAGCAAGACCTACCACACTGCAGTCTTGTGAGGACCCAAGAACATCATGTGCCTTCAGGGTTTAGCAGGACCTACTGGACATCCCTAAGAGCTACCGCCGACCCTGAATCATACCGAGTTTGAGGCCTGCTAGACCCTGACCAGTCCGAGAAGGAAAGCCTGAACGAGAATGAGCCTACCTCCCACTTGCATCCCACATGCCGGGCGGATGATTTTCCAGGGGGCATCCAAGGTACCTTGGTTTTCACCCGGACACTCCGCCGCACATTCACGGTGTCCCCTTTCATTCCGCGCTTATGAGATTTCTGTGGAAAGGGACAAACCCAGGGTCACTTCCCCACACAGCCAGCCGTGGTGTCACTCTGGTGGCACCCACTTCCAACTCCGCAGGGGAGCGTCTTCTGACTAAGGCTGCTGCTGCCGTTTCTGGATCAAGGGCCGCCTACCTTCTAAGCAGGCAGCTGACCTCTGAAAGCAAGCGCATCTGTCTCGGAAACCTTTGGAGTTTGAGGCGCGAGGTGGCCGGGTTGGGAGGTGGCCCCCTGCTCCACAGCCTTAACCTCGCCCGGCCGGCAGGCTCCTACCTGGCTGCTGGTTGCTGATGGTTTCGGGAGTTTTTTTATGTGGACGTGGACAGGAGTGTTCTCATCCACGTGAACATGTAAGGGGGGAGTTGAAGAGCGGTCCTTCATGGTTCGCTTCTGGCAGGCGGGGGAGGACAACACAAAAAAGGTTGATCTGTGGATGAGTAAACGGGCATAAAAACCAGAGCTCAGAGCCTCTGGGGGCCACCGAAAGCCTAGCCAGCAAGCGAGCAGGACAGCTACCAATCACTGGCATGCGGGCAGGAACGAAGGCAGCGGTGCTGTTCCCGCAGGCTGCTGCAGAGATGCCAGCTGAAGACCACTGGGAAGATCTACGTCCACTCAAGAGAGGGGTCTGCCAGACCCGCACGCTCCGCAGAAGAACCCGAACCCAGCCCCAGGGTCCTCAGCGCTGAATCTCCGTCTGAGCCTGCGGGAATGCACAGCTTTTCTTCAGACTCAGTGTAGCACAGTGGGAGAGGGCAGGAGAATCCTTCTGCACGGTAATCTGGGCGGGCAGATTAGCGCAGGAGACTCACAGAACGGTTAGAGCACAAAACAAATCAGGCAGCAGGCAGGTGAGAGAGGACGACCACAGAAAGCGATAGGAAATGCTGAGATGAGAAGGTTGCATAGATTCTGAAGAAAATATAAGCAGGGCAGAACCCCCAGCTGCACACCCCTTGCCATCCCCCCACCGCCATCCCCCCAGCAACTATCCCTTCCCCATTCTTTGACTTTTTTCTTTTCTTCTATTTCTTTTTTTTTTTTTTTTTTTTTTCTTTTTGGAAGTTTTCTCAAGCTTTTTGGAACTGGGAAGGATTAGGTTAAGACAACCTCCTCACACCCAGCAGCTAGACCACAAGCAAAAGAAAAAAAACCATCCCAGTCAATCAGCAGGACAGGCATGAAAGCACCCAGCAGAGCGAGGGGCCACAGTGGTGCCAGCAGGGAAAGGCAGGTACTGGAAAAGGTGTGCAAAAGCATTGGTGGTGGGGCCGCAGACCCGAGGGCTGCTCCGTGTGCGCGTCACCTACCGTCACAGTCACACTGGGCGCAACACAGGGTGTCCGCAAGACCTTTTTCTGCGTGAGACTTGTTACTCCGTTCTTCCCACACGATGGAAACCTGCACCCAGGCACAAGAACCAGATTGTAAGCGGAAAAATACGGCTCTTCTAGTTCTTAGATCTCCCGAAATTACACACAAGCTTACGACTAGGAGAACCAGTCTGGAATCACTTGGCTCCCTTTACACGAGCACCAAGCACGCCTGGTGTGCCTGGCAGCGGGATGGAAACAGGGGGTGATGGGCATTCACAGGGCTGACCCTGTAACCTGCCACTGCATTGCACATATTGTGACCTTTTGCTGAAACGCCCAGCTGTCATCCTGTCTGTCGAGTGGCAAAAAGCAGGCGGCACGGGAGCCATGGGCAAGGTACTAACTTGGCCAAGGATGAAAGTGCTCAGGGACTGTGCCTAGAGCAGAGGCAGCCCTGGAAAAATGCTCAGTGAATGACAGACATAAAAAGAAGCAGCGGAGTGTGTGGATGGCTCAGCTCACCAGCCGACTCTTGATCCCAGTTCAGGTCAAGATCCCAGGGTCCTGGGATTGAGCCCCGCATTGGGCTCCGAGCTGAACATGGAGCCTGCTTAAGATTCTTTTTCTCTTTTTCTCTCTCTCCCTATACCCCTCTACCCTGCTTGAGAGCTTTCTCTCCAAAAAAAAAAAAAAAACAACAACAACAACAAAAAAAAAACAACAAAAAAAAAACATAAAAAGACAAAAACAAAAACCCAGCAGGCCCAGGAACAAAGTCACTGTGACTCAAATTTCATAAAATTAACAAACATTCAAGTAAGATGAAGAAAAGTTACTATTTCCCCAAATATCCCTCTTTCTACCTTTTTTTTTTTCAACATTTATTTATTTTTGGGACAGAGAGAGACAGAGCATGAACGGGGGAGAGGCAGAGAGAGAGGGAGACACAGAATCGGAAACAGGCTCCAGGCTCTGAGCAGTCAGCACAGAGCCCAACGCGGGGCTCGAACTCACGGACCGCGAGATCGTGACCTGGCTGAAGTCGGACGCTTAACCGACTGCGCCACCCAGGTGCCCCTCTTTCTACCTTTTAACGTCTTGAAAAGCAGGGTTATTTTTGTTTTAGAGAGGTTTTTTTTTTTTTTAATAATATGTGCAATTCATCCTGCTTACACATAAACAACCCCATCACCAGATTTGCAAATATAAAAAAAGTTTAATCTCCAATATTTTGCAGCAGAGCGTCTGAGTCAAGAAGGCCATGACGGAAAGGGACTTGGAAAATTCATTTGGTCCATCCCACTACCTCCTGACAGCCTCAAAATATGGCTTCGCCCTCCCCATCAATACTTCTGGGAAAATAATGTAACCTAAAGATGCAACATAAAAATTCTCGGGCACTGTAGCATGCATCTTGCTGTACATCTATTACGCTTTGATGAAAAAGAAAAAAAATATATTTATTGCGCCCTACTAGTCATTTGGGCAAGGAATACCAAATCTGAGTAAGTAGACGGGTTTTTTTCCCCCCTCCTCACTTAAAAGCCAACAGATTTGGGAAATCTCTCTCCCTCATCAGGCTTGCCATGCAATCACCTGGATTGCATCCATACCTTGTTAACTGACAAATCCACCTCCCACATCATTGTTATTTACATGCAGCCCTCTTTCAAAAAGGACCTGCATGCCTCCTACTCCAACAATGGTGACCCTGTTTGCTCCTGGGAACTGGGGCACCTGGGGAGGGAGGGCAAGAGGGAGCCAGAACTGGGATGGCCTGCCTGCACTTTTTTCCTCCTTCCCTTTCAAAATGATTTCTCAATGTCTTGGACCAGACTTTTCAACACACAGAACAGGGAAGCTGGAAAGAGAAGCCCCCGGTGAGCCTGGCCTGAGGGCCCCTGACCACCTTTCCCTGCCCTTCCGCAGTACCTGGGGGAGCCGCCTGAGGATGAGGCAGACATGGCTAGGCATCAAAGCCGCAAAGGTGGGCAATTGGGTCAGCAGGCTCTGCTCAGGGGGACCCAGAGGGGCTTGTCAATAACAATCTCAGGGGCCCGGCATCAAACGTCCTCTCTGAGGGGAGAAGGGTGGAAGCCTTGGGGGTGGCAGTTGGATGAAAACTTGGGAGGCGCTCCTCTACTGTCCAAGTCGCACAGCAACTGTCCTGCCAAAGTGGGGTGGGGGGGAGATAGGAGAGGCTGAGCGACTTGCGGGGCAGTGGATGGACGGCCGGTAGGTGGGTAGGGGGCGCGGAGGAAGCTCCCCTCCCTGGGGACGGGCGAGGGGCGGAACTTCGAGGACAAGGACCACCACGCCCAGGCCCCACCCAGGAGTGGTGGGTGGCAGTCAAAGGGAAAACCTGAGGTGCTGGCTGGCGTGCGTGGAGGGCGAGAACCGCCAGGTCCCCAAGTGGGCCCCAAAGGGCCGGAATCCGAGAAGGGAGCTGGGGGGATATTCCGGGCGGGGCCAGGGCAAGGGTCTCCTAGGAGAAGGGGGCGTTCCCGGCAGAATAAAAACCTGGAGAGGACCAATAGTATTTGAAGGCGATAGGGGCGGCAGCTGCAGGAGAAAGGGGCGTTCGGCTACAAGTGGGTACCCCCGACGGCGAGGGGAAAATCCTCCCGGGCGTAACAGCCAGCGGCCGCCAGGACTTAGTATCCGAGTTAGAGCGGGTCGGACGCCGGGTGGTGCAGGGAGCGGGATGGGACCCCCGGGAAGGCCCCCTGGGCTGGTGATCCCGCTCCCGCGGGGTTGGGCGGCAGGGAGACGGCCCCGGGGAAACAGCACTGCCTACGAGGCGCGGACAAATAACTGCCGAGCCGAGGCCCGCAGGGAGGGAGAGCCGGCAGGGGCGACGCCCACCGGCGGGCAAGGGGCGCGGGGCCAGCCTCCGAAGGCGGGGAAGAGACGACGACCACCCACCAGCGGGCAGGAGGGGACCAGTTTCTGCCCATAGAGAGAAGGGCGAGGCCCCGCCGGAGGGCGGCAGAGGTGGGAGTAGAGTCCCGCCGGAGGCCAGGTCAGGTGGGAGGCGGCCGGCCCGCCCGTTAGCCGGAGGAGGAGAGGGCCCGCGCCGGGGGGCGGGGCGGGGGCCACATTCTGACGGGAGCGGGACGAGCGCGCCGGAGGGCTGGAGGCAGGGGCGGCCGGGGGGGAGGGGGAGAGGCGGGGGCCATCCCTCCCTCCGGGACCCAGCCCGGCGGCGGCGGCGGCGGGGCGCCCCGAAGCGCCCGGGGTCCCGCCTGCCGGCGGCCTCTCACCAGGAGCGACACGGCTGCGCCCAGAAACGCCTCCTTATGAAGTCGTTGAAGTCGGAGGCCAGGGCCGTGCCATGGAGACGCCGCGGCGGATGCTGTGCGGCTCCCGCGGCGACTCCTCCCCGCTTCCGCCTCCTTTTCCGACACCCGGTCGGCAGCTCGCCCATTGGCCAGTTCAAACCCCCCCAGGAGCCTCTCGGGTTTCGCCATTTAGACCCAGCCCCTGGCGTCACAGAGATGCCCCGCCCTACAAGAAGCTCCGCCCTTGTCTGGGCCACGCGTCCCGTCGCCGTGGAGACGCGCGACGCCACTAGAGGGCTTTGCCGGGGCTTGCCCCGCCGTTCAAGGCCCGGCTGGCCCTCCGCCATTTTTACCCCGTCGCGGCCCCCCTCGAGTCCCCTAACTGGGAGGAGCGTTAAAACTCTACCCCGGGCCCTTTGATACGTGTTGGGAAACTGGGCTCCGACTGGGGACACAGAACGAGTAATCGGCCGGAGCGACGCGCAGCTTCTGACGTCCAGCCCCTTCAGTAGTCCACTGGTGGCGCACACCACCCAGACTCTGATATCTCGCCCCTTCCCACAGCTCCTCCTCTATCCTTGTCCAGACCGGAGGAACGGGCCGCGTCCCCCTCGCTCCTCACCGCCCTCCTGCACACTGGGCGCTGCTGTGCGTACAGACCTACTTCGATGAGGTTCTCGCTGGGCCGCCATCTTCTCGACTATGCTTCACTGTGGAGCAATCAAGGGGGGCTGTCACGTGGCTCACCGCGCCGCCCTGGATTCTGGGAGACTTTAACATCCTCAGGCCAATCTGGCCTCGGTCGCTTGACGTCCTCATGTCCATGACTTTCCCTTGAACCTCAGCCGTGCACCCTCAGGGTCACACAACTGGTACACGTGACATCTGAAATTCCAGCTTCCCGCTCTCCACATAGTACTTGCTTTTCTGGCTTCGCTTTCATTTTCTTCGCATTGGCTAATGCCCACCATATTCATTCCCCGGTGTTAGGGAGCCCTCCACGTCCATTCATCTTATCCCTATTGAATAAATAACGGGTCTCCTGTTATCATTCAACCACCTGAGGTTCTGCAAGGATGAAACCCACACACCATGGCCTCCACCTTCAGCTGAGCCCTCATCACCACCCAGAATTGTTCCATTTGTCTCTAGATCCCTTCTCTCTCCAAGTGGCTTGACCAAACCTTTGCCTCTCCCGTCTCATATTCCCCACTCTCCTTTCTCATAGAGAAAAATAAAGCCATCAAGAATTTCCTCTACCTTCTCCCTACCAATCTGCACTCATTTTAAGTCCCCGCTCCGCCTCCCCACCATCTTTTAGTTCCTCCCTTCAGAGGAAGTGATGTCCTTCTTGCTGCCCAAGGTAAACCTCTTACTGCCAGGCCTAGATCAAAGATCTCAGTAAAATGTCTCTTGCTACCCCCAGCACAGAATTGTTGGTCATTTCTCACTGCTCCCACATTCGCTGAACCAATATTAAGTCCCTGCTATGTGCTAAGCCCAGTTCAAGGGATGCTAGACCAACACACCCTACCTAGTCTTCAAGGAGCACACAGCCAACCTCTTGGACTTGACCAGATATCATGGTTGAAACTTTCCTCTCTCCACCCACTGAAGGATTTTGCCCATGTGATTTTGTCTGCTCTTCACCCTCTGAAGAGGGCCCTTCATAGCCAGTGCAGTTCTTTGGGGCTTTTGTGATGGAAAATCTGAGAATGGACAGAATTGAGAGGTCACACACACGCACGCAGCAGTGGGTGACAGGAAGGAGGAGGAGGAAACGCTTCTCAGAAGATTGGGAAGGGAGGGGTGGTGGAAGGGAGACAGGAACCTCTGTAGTGTGTGGAAGATGTGGGATGGAGAAGAAAAGGAGCATATTTTGTTTTAATGTTTATTCATTTTTGAGAGACAGAGACAGACAGAGCATGAGCGGGGGAAGGGCAGAGAGAGAGGGAGACACAATCTGAAGCCGGCTCCAGGCTCTGAGCTGGAGCTCTGAACTTACCACAGAGGCCGATGTGGGGCCCGAACCCACAAACAGTGAGATCATGACCTGAGCTGAAGGCAGACGCCCAACCAACTGAGCCTCCCCGTGCCCCTGAAAAGGAGCATATTTAAGAGTTTAGCTGTGGTAGGGGGATCTATCCTTTTGTAGTGTTTGAGAAATGCAAGGAAAGAACTTGAGTTATTCTTATATTACTTTGTATTGCTGGACCGACGATGTTTTCTTTCTTTCTTTCTTTTTTTAATGTTTATTTTTGAGAGAGAGAGAGAGAGAGAGAGAGTGTGTGGGGGGGGGGAGGGGCAGAGAGAGAGGGAGACACAGAATCAGAAACAGGCTCCAGGCTCTGAGCTGTCAGCACAGAGCCCGACGTGGGGTTCGAGCCTCAAGATCATGACTCAAGCGGAAGCCTGACACGTAACCCACTGAACTACCCAGGTGCCCTGGACCATGTTTTCTGAGTGCAAACCACTTTGAGCCTGGCCAGCATTGACCACTTTTTTTTTATTTTTTATTTTTTTTTAAGTTTACTTACTTATTTATTTATTTATTTATTTATTTATTTATTGAGAGAGCAGGAGCAGGGGAGGGGCAGAAAGAAAAGGAGAGAGAGAATCCCAAGCAGGCTCTGCACTGCACCCAACCTGGAGCTCTAACTCACAAACCACGAGACCATGAGCTGAGCCAGTCGCTTAACTGACTGAGCCATCTAGGCGCCCCTGACCACTTTTTTTTTAAGGGCAATACCCAGGGGTGCCTGGGTTCCTCAGTAGGTTGAGCATCTGACTTTGGCTCAGGTGATCTCTCATGGGGCACGCTGTTCTCAGCACAGAGCCTGCTTTGGATCTTCTGCCCCCCTCCGCCCCTCCCCCACCCACACTCTCTCTCAAAAATGAATTAACCCAGAAAACAAATAATCCAGTGAAGAAATGGGCAAAAGACATGAATAGACACTTTTCAAAAGACATCCATCCAGATGGCTAACATACATGAAAAAAGGCTTAGCATCACTCATCATCAGGGAAATACAAATCAAAACCACACTGAGATAGCACCTCACACAGTCAGAATGGCTAAAATTAATAACCTTGGCAACAACAGGTGTTGGCGAGGATGCAGAGAAAGAGAATCTCTTTTGCGCTGTTGGTGGGAATGCAAAGTGGTGCAGTCACTCTGGAAAACAGTATGGAGGTTCCTCAAAAAGTTAAAAATAGGCGGCGCCTGGGTGGGTCAGTCAGTTAAGTGTCCGACTTCGGCTCAGGTCATGATCTCGTGGTTTGTGAGTTCAAGCCCCACGTTGGGCTCTGCGCTGACAGCTCCTGCTTCCGATTCTGTGCCTCCCTCCCTCTCTGTGGTTCTTCTCCACTCACACTCTGTCTCTCTGCCTCTCTCTCTCTCCCAAAAATGAATAAACATTAAAAAAATTTTTTTTAATAAAAATAAAAATGTATGATCAAATAAACACTAAAGGAGCCACCATTCAGCTTTAAGAAATAAGAGATTAAAAATTTTGTAGAGGCACCTGGCTGACTCAGGCAGTAGAGCATGCGACTCTTGATCTCGGAGTCATGAGTCCAAGGCCCGTGTTGGGGGTGGGGGTACTTAAAACATCTTTTTTGTTTTGTTTTGTTTTAAACCAGTAGACATTATCTCAAAATGTTAATACGACCATTTTATTTTCCTTGTTCTATTTTTCCCAATGTCAACAACGGATGTGAGCTTCTTTTGTTAGTTAGAAACAACCACAGTTGGGGGAGCCAGCCATCAGCCCCAGCATTGGGCCCCCACCCTGCCAGCAGCTCACAGCGGAGGGAGACCCCTGAGTGTCCCCCACCCCCACCACCCCGGGTCTAGGCTCCAGCCTCTCCATTTGCCCAAGGGCCTGATTACCAGTTCTTTCCATCCAGGAGCATCTCCTCCAGGGCCCTGATGCAACTGCCACAGCCCTGCCCTGGGGAGAAGGAACCTGTGCTCCAGAGTGGGCTTGGCTTTTCCTTGCAAGTTTTGGGTGGAGCTGGGAGAGAAAATTCTCCCAGGCCTTATCAAGGCTTGCTCCTCTTAGACCCTTTGGCCAAGACCCTCACTGGCCCTGCCCCTCGGAGGTTGGATGGCCTCCAGTCTCACTGAGAGTATTGATTCTGCAGCTGTCCAAACCAGTGGTTCTCAAAGGCTCCACGCCAACAGCATCAGCATCACCGCGGAACTTGGTAGAGATGCAAACCTTGGACCCCACCCTGGACCTAGGGAACCAGACAGTCTCGGGATGGGGCTCAGCAACCTGCGTTTTAACAAGTTCTGTGGGTGATTCAGCTATACTCCAGAGTCTGAGAACCACTTTCCGGACCCTCAGACTTGGAGGGCGAATGTAGTCATGCCTCTTCGTTTTACAGAGGAGGAAACTGCAGGGTTTTAAGCGAGGAGAAGGGACCCGGCTCAAGTGGCAAAGGTGAAAGTGAAAGTTAGATGATCTGTTTCCAGAGACCACCCCCCACTCTCTTCTGACTCAGGCAGACCTCCTTAGCCCATCTGGATCCACTTTGTCACTGTCTGGAGGGTTGCCGTGAAGCCAGCAACCATCAGTGAACCCTTCCCACTGTGCCAGGGACGGTGCTCACCTGCATGAGCTCAGCAAAGCCTCGCAACATCCAGTGAGCTCGGCATGAATGCTAACCCCATTTTACAGAGCTGAAAACTGAGGCGCGAGAAAGCTCATTACATTTGCCCAAGGTCACAGGGTTAGAAAGTGCAGACATAACTCAAACCAGCTTTCTCTCCTACACACACACACACACACACACACACACACACACACAGCCCCAGGGGCCTATGTTATGGCCAGCAGGAGCACACTGAGGTTTGCAGAGACTGCCGCCTTCAGGGAGGGCTCTTCCCCAGTGCTTACAATTCAGCTGAAAAACCAGCAAGGAGACAGAAATCTCCCTGAACGGGCAAAACAGTTGGCAAACAGCCAATGCTCCAAAGCTAACTGCCATTTACTCATAGGAAAGCCCTTTGTCTCTTGATTTGCAAACAATTGTACCAACCTTGCGGGGTGGGGTAGAGCAGATTAAAAGCAGTCCACCTCGAGGGAGTTATAGCAGTCCTGGTTCCTGCCCGCTGGCCCTCCTTCCCGCTCAGGTCACGATCTCATGGTTGGTGGGTTCAGCTTAGGTCACGATCTCATGGTTCGTGGGTTCAAGCCCCAAATTGGGCTCTGCACTGACAGTGAGGAACCTGCTTCGGATCCTCGACTCTCTTTCTCTCTCTCGGCTCCTGCCCAGCTTGCACCCTCTCTCTCTCAAAAAGAAATAAACACTGAAAAAGAAAGAAAGAAACCATAATGTAACATATCAGGGAAGGTGTTCATGCTCAGTTTTGTATGAAACTTCCAAATAAAACATTTATACTGGTTAAAAGCAGACACAAGAGGCCACATACTATATGATTCCACCCACACGACGGTTGGGAAAAGGCACAACCACAGGGACAGAAAACAGATCTATGGTTTCAGGGGCTGGAGTTGGGAGGAGGGTACTGACGATAGGGGAATTTGGAGGGAAATGTACATATTCCACATCTTCATTGTCGTGGTGGTGACCTGACTGTTTACATTTGTCAAAGATCATCAAACTCAACTTTTTTTTTTAAGCTTCTTTATTTACTTTTGAGCCAGGGGCAGGAGGGGCAGAGAAAGGGAGAGAGAAAATCCCAAGCAGGCTCAACGCTGCCAGCGGGGAGTCCGACACCAGGCTCAAATCCACAAGCCGATGAGATCACCAACCACCTGAGCTGACGTCAGACGCTTCACCGACTGAGCCCCACAGACGCCCCTCATCGGCATCGATTTTACTGTGTGTTGATTTAGCGGGAGTTCCCAGAGCAGTCAGCTCCTCGGAATCAGGAATCACCCGGGGTGGTTTCGTTCAGAAAGTCACGCCTCACCCACAACCTACCTGGTGGGGGGGGGGGGGGGTTCAGGGGGGGGGGGATGTATTTGAATTTGTGCTTAGGGAAGCTGGGGTGTGCGAGTGGGTGTGTGTGTGTGTGTGTGTGTGTGTGTGTGGTTTGGGGCCAGGACTTCTGGGTCAGGATGGGATTCCAAGCTTCCATCTGCAGCCCAGACCTGAACCCTGAATCCCAGGCTCGTACAAGCCAACAACCACGTGATGTCTGCACCGGAATCCTGACCAGCACCCAGCCCCACCCACAGTCTTCTCCATTTGACTTGATGACAGGTCCATTCCTCCAGAAATTCAGGCCCAACGCTTCGACATCATCCTCAATTCCTGTTTCTCTTTCTTGTCATTTAGTTTTAATTTCATTATCCTAAACTTAGCCCTTGCACCAACACGGCCCCGAGGACGTGTCGTGAGAGCACGAAGGCACAGAGTGGTGCCAGCAGCTGGGGGCGGGAGGGGTGCCCTCCGGAGACAAAGCACAGACCAGCCTGTCAGCGCTGTCCACGCCCTGCAGTGATGATGTTGCCATGCCTGGACCCGAGGCGCTCCATGGCTTCCACGACATCTGTGCCTTCTTCCACCCTGCCAAGGACCGCCTGCTTGCCATCCCAGCTGGGCAGTGCAGATGAAAACCTGGGGACCAGTTGTGCTGCGCCCAGCATTTGCCATGGGAGAGATGTCAGGAATACATTCTCAACATCAAATTTCTCCCTGTAGATGGACGTTCCCCAGTCCTCAGAGCGTGCAAGTTTTCTGCTGTCTTGGGAACTTCTACAAACAGCTTGAAGGAGGTGCGGCCCAAGGGCTCAAGAGCATAGTGGGCTTGACCATGGCTAGGCAGCACAGGGAGGCTCTGGGTGTCCGTATCTGCAACCTCCTATCCTGCCTTAGAAATTCTGTCGGTTCTGCCTTATTACCACCCCACTGCTAGTGAACACCCTGGGCTGATGCATCGTTGTATTGCAATGGGTTCCTGGCTCCCTGGGCCCACCTACAGTTTATTCTCAGTACAGTAGCCAGGGTGATCATGTTAAAATAAGTTAGACTGTGTCGTTTCTTTCTTTTTTTTTTTTTAAAGAAGATTTTTTTTTTAAAGTTTATTTTGTGAGAGAGAGGCAGAGAGATAGAATCCCAAGCAGGTGCCACATTGTCAGCACGGAGCCTGACGCAGGGGTCGAACCCACAAACTTCAAGATCATGATTTGAGCTGAAATCAAGAGTTGGACGCTCAACTGACTAAGCCACCCAGGCACCCCAGACCATGTCGTCTCTTGGCCTCAAACCCTCTGGGGGCTCCCGGTTCCAGAGTAAAAGCCAGAAGGACCTCCAAGGCCCTCCTTGCTCTGGCTCTGACTTTGGCTCTATCATCTCCAGGCTCTGGCTCCTTCTTGCTCACTCTGCTCCAGGCACGCTGGCTTCCTTGCTGTCTTTTACCTGCCAGTCCTGCTCCTGCCTCAGGACCTTTGCACATGCTGTTCCCCTAGTCTGAAATGGGCTTCTTTCAGCTATCCCCACAGCTTGCCCCCTCACCTCTGAGCCTTTGGTCAAATGTGAACTTCTCAGACCATACTTTTTTTTTTTTTTTTTTTTTTTTTTAATGCTTGTTTATTTTTGAGGGAGAGAGACAGAGAGTGAGTGGGGGAGGGGCAGAAAGAGAGGGAGATACAGAATCCAAAGCAGGTTGCAGGCTGCAGGCTCCAGGCTCTGAGTTGTCAGCACAGAGCCGCTGCGGGGCTCAAACCCACAAACTGCGAGATCGTGACCTGAGCTGAAGGACGCTCAAATCGACTGAACCACCCAGGCGCCCCATTCTCAGACCATACTTGATGTCTCCTTCCTCATTTTGCTCTACCACTCTCTAATATTTACTTATTTATTTTTGTCTATCTCCCTCCTAGAATGTCAGCTGCACCAGGTCAGGGATTTTTTGGCTACTTTTATTCACTGCTGTACCCCTAATGCCTGAACCTGGCCCATAAGAGGGGCTCTATAAATGATTATTTTAATGAGCGAAGGGGACACCTCAAGCCTGGAGGGGAAAAGTGACTTGTCAAGGTCATAGTCATCTGAAATCAATGGCTTTCACTCTTGGAACGAAGCACCAATCCTATAGCTTTCACCCAAAGTCCTTCTCACAGACATTCCAGGTCCTGGGACCAAAGCCGGGCCAGCCGGCTAGATATCCCAGCCTCGGGGGGCGCCTGTCCAACTCTGCCAGGGCCCTGGTGCTTCCACAACCAAGTCAAGGAGCTGCCAGGGGAGAGGGGCTCCCCTGACAAAGGAAACCTAGGCATGCCAGTGCCAGTCTTGTGCTGGTGGAGGCCAAGGCAGCCACGGCCAAGGCAAGGAGCCACCGCCCTATGCCCTCCAGCTGCCTGAGTGCAGGCACTGGAGACGGCTGCTGGGCCCAGAAGCCTGACCCTGTGAAGGGCAGGTGGAGAGGGAGGAAGGCCAGCAGTTCTAAGCAGAAGAGCAGAAGACGCGGAGCTGCTGTGCGTAGCCGGGCAGCACAGGGAGGCGATTCCAAGTGCCCCGGGCTCCCTTCCCCATTGCTGGCTCCGTCCCAGCAGAGGGCGCCCCTGGCCCACAAGGTCCACATTCTGCTTTCTTTCGCCCTCTGGCGGCCACACTGGTTAGGGCCAGAGGGGAGTCTTGGATCGTTCCCACCTCTCCCAGGGGAAGGGTGGCAACTGCACAGGTGAAGATTCAAAGGGAAGGAGGCTCAGCAGCCCCGGGTCTGGGCGCACCGCCCCCCCGCCCCCCCGCCCATCAGGGTGAGGCCAGTGATGCCCACGACAGCCCCAAAGGGTGAGCATTCACTGTGGGCCGGGCCAGGCCATTCCATACCCACCCAGCCACGACACTTCCCTTCCATGTCCATTTCACCACCAGACTAAGACCCAGGGAGGGATGGCATCCACACCAGATCACCAGGCAAGGAGATGGCCATGCCCAGTCAGCCTGACTCCTCTTCCAGGCTGCCTTCCTCTCTCTGCTTCTCCAACTGCTCAGCCATGACACCTCCACATGGGCACCCTTGGTGGGAACCCTTCCCTCCCAGACCTCGTGACACACAAAGAGGCTCATCCGGGAGTTAGACATATAAAGTGCACATACCAGCTGGCTTTTATTGAGGGCCTACCATGTGCTGGGCACCAAGTCTGCAAGGGCCCTCCTCTCACCCCCCCTGTACTTCCCACTGGCCAGGGGAGAGGGTGGGCCCAGGCAGGTGAGACCCAGGCGTCGAGTCGGGAGGGGACTGAGGTGGAGGTAGAAGATGGCAGAGGGGCCCCAGCAGTTGGGTCTGCGGGGAAGGCAGGGCTCCTGGTGTCGGCCCAGCTTGGAACTGAAGGCTGGGGAGCCCCCCACCTTCCCCCCCCAGCCCCGGATCCTGAGTCAGGAGGGTGAGAGGGCCTGGGAGCCCTGCCCTTTTGCTACGTGAACTTCGGGGAAGGGGACCCATCTCTGAGTGGTTTCTCCCCACGTAAGGTGGGGCCAGAGGGCAGAGTGGCCATGCCTAAGGTGACAGTCGGGTCTCTATGGGGTCTGTGGCTTCTGGTGGCGGCTCCTGCCAGCGATCTCCAGGTCCGCTCCCTGGCCAGCTGCGGCCTGCTCCTGAGAGCTCTTCTGGAGTCACTGCCTGGACCTGGCGGGACAGAAGGGGCGAGAAGAGAGAAAGAGAAAGAACGGGAGTGGGATATGCAGAGGCAGAGACAGAAGAAGACACAGAGAAGGTCCGAGAGACAGAGACAGGCAGGGAGAGGAAGCTTGAGGTGGACACAGAAATGCAGGGAGCCACACACAGAGACAGAGCGGGAGGGGGGGGGCTCCTCCCAGCCCCGCCCTCACCTAGAGCTCGTCCCGAGGGTGGTGGGGGTGGAGACTGTGCCCGCTGCTGCCAGCCAGGTCCGGGGGGGGGCCACGCAGCGTCTTGTGAGAGCCACTCCAGCTGATGATGCGGCCGCTGTCATCGTCCCAGGGTGAGGATGTCTCCGTGTCGCTGAGCCACTCGGCGTCCCCTGCGTAGTGGGTGGGAGCAGCGAGCAGGGGCCGCGCAGAGAAGGCACGCAGGTCGCGTGGCCAGAAGTGCGCCTTGTACTGCTCACTGTGAGGCGGGGGGAAGGCTCAGGAGGGCTGAGGTGGGGCCCCTGCCTGGAGCCCGGGCACCTCACCTGCCCGAAGCCCCTCACTGCCCTCCCCCTCAAGACCTCACGACAAATGACAGAAGCGGAGTTTCTGTCGTCTCCATTTTCCAGACGGGGAAACTGAGGCTCAGAACAGAGAAGTGGCTTGACTAAAAACCACAAGGCAGCACAAAGTTTACACCTCGGTTGGTCTGACTCCAAAGCCAGGCTGGGCTACTCCTTGGTGACCTCGCGTTAGTGACTCAGCCTCGCCAGCCTCAGTCTCCCCAGCCGCCCAGCGAGGGGACTTCATGCTTGTGGAGGTAGGCTCCCCGGGGTCAGGTGACCCTGCCCTGCCCCCACCGGAGACTCACTTGGGGTGCTGGTCAAACATGATGGGTAGGAACTCGTCCACAGGCAGCATTCGGCGCAGGGGCTGGGAGGCCAGCAGCTTGCGAGCACCCGCCAGGCTCAAGACATACGCCAGCGTCCAGTAGGAGTACCCGGCCACCACCAGGTGTGGCAGCCCCCCCACGGCTGCCTCTTGCTCAGGGTTCACCTGCTTCCGGCCCAGGTAGCTATGGGCGACACCAAGGGGCCCGGGAGTCACTGTAGGTCCTAGGGTGTCAGAGGACCCCTTCCCCAGTTGCATCCCACAGGCCAGGCTCGGTGGGGAGGCCGTCCCTCTCCCCTGCCCCTGGAGGCGCAGGCTGCCTACATCAGGTCCCACAGGAGCTTCTCTGCCTCCACCTCCTCCATAAGCCGCTCCAGTCGCCCCCTGAAGTTGCTCTCAAAGCGCACATCGTCCTCAAACACTAGGACCTGGGCCAGGCCCCTGGCAGCCACCTGTGGTGTGGGGGAAGGGGACACAACACAGGGGGATGGCTCTTTAGATTCAGGCTGTCCCCTTCCACCTGCCTGACAATGACTGACTCTCCCTGGCCTGAGTTATATGCCGAAGGTTCAGCCCTGGCCATGTCAGTCACTCAGCTGCTCCAAAGCCTGCTGGGGCTCCCACCGCCTGGGGACTGAAATTCCAACATCTCGCTCTGGCATTCAAGGCCCCCCAGGCCCCCTCCCCTGAGGTAGAATCTTCAAGTAGAATCACGACAGCCATCATAACCTTTGCTGTATTCACAGAGCGCTGCCATACCCCAGGGGCCACAGAATTACTGCTTATCCCAGGGACCCTCGAGAGGAAGGACACACGACGTCACTGTACTGTAGTAAGGAGATGGAGACACAGGGAGGTACGACCGCTTGTCCAAGGACACAGCCCGTAGCAGAACTGGGATCTGAACCTTCATCTACTGGACTCCAGGCCCAGTTCCTCACCAGGCCTCCTGGACTTTTCTGAAGAAAGACCCTAGCCCCCACGATCCCTAAGAAAAAGTACTTTTTGTAACTTCTGGAAATGTGAAAAGAACATGAAATCAGCACAGTCAACGGTGAAATAGAAATCACGTTCAGGGGCGCCTGGGTGGCGCAGTCGGTTAAGCGTCCGACTTCAGCTCAGGTCACGATCTCGCGGTCCGGGAGTTCGAGCCCCGCGTCGGGCTCTGGGCTGATGGCTCAGAGCCTGGAGCCTGTTTCCGATTCTGTGTCTCCCTCTCTCTCTGCCCCTCCCCCTTTCATGCTCTGTCTCTCTGTCCCAAAAATAAATAAACGTTGAAAAAAAAATTAAAAAAAAAAAAAAAAGAAATCACGTTCAGAGACAGTCTCAATCTGCTCAGAGACAGAGGGAGACAAACAGAAATATGAGCTCACATGCACTATTTTGGCTGCAGTGGAAAATAAAGACAAGAAGCGGGCCTGGGTGCTGCCTCCTGGAGGGGGCACCGTCCCCTTGCAGGGCCAGTCCCCTCGTCCCTCCTCAGTGGCCAGGCAGTGACCTCTCACTGGTGCCCATACCGGCAGCCCTAAGCTGAGTCCTCCTGGCCAAGTCCCAGGCCTTTCTTCTTCCCACTTCTGAACATACAGTTCCTTCCTGCCTCAGGGCCTTTGCTCCACTGTTTTCCTCTGCCCAGAAGCCTCTTCTCACTGCCCTTCAATGCCACCCTGACCCCACATCAGTCCAGGAATCTAGGCTGGTCCACACTCTAGGACAAGCCTGTACATCTACCCTCCATGGCAAGCTTGGTTCTTCCTCAGTTTCTGTGCCCTCCTCTGGTCCCTGAGCCCCAAGAGAACCAGAAAGGCCTTTTTTTTTTTTTTTGGTTTGTCTCCGTATTCTCAGAGCAGAATATCTCCTAGCACACAGGAGGTGCTCAACAGAGATGACAGAATGAATAAGATACAGGGATGAACACAGTTTAAAGCTGCAGGCCAGGTCTTGGGGCGCCTGGGTGGCTCAATCGGTTAAGCGTCAGACTTCAGCTCAGGTCATGATCTTACGGTTCGTGAGCTCAAGCCCCGCGTCGGGCTCTGTGCTGACAGCTCAGAGCCTGGAGCCTGTTTTGGATTCTGTGTGTGTGTCTCTCTCTCTCTCTGCCCCTTGCCCACTCACACTCTGTCTCCTTCTCTCAAAAATAAATAAACATTAAAAAAAATTAAAAACAAAAAAGCTGCCGGCCAGGTGTTTAAAAATGTATGAATTCACCCACGGATTCCCTTGGGTGCTGAGCACAGAGCAGTGAGTAGGGTGGCCCCGCTCTGCCTGTGGGGGGTGTGGGCCAAAAGGGGGTTCCTCACCTCCTCCCAGATGGAGTAGTGGCTGAGGAAGCAGCCCACCTCGCCCTTGGTCAGTGTGCGGCCTGAGTAGGGGTCCTGGTAGCCAGGGAGCAGGTCCACGCCGAGGCTCCTCATGATACTGCTGTTGAGGGTCCTGAGGGAGACGGGACTAATGGGGTACGGGGTGCCCGCCAGGGACCCATCCAGGGGCGCCTCACCTGTGCCTGTTGGGGGCACCCTGGAGTTTAGTTTGAAGGAGATGTCAGCCTTGTTACTGCTTCATGTGGCCTGAAGCTGTCAGAAGATGTTCCCCAGACGCCCAGGGAAAAGATGGACATCCTGCCATCTGAAGGGCGGGGGGTGGGGGTGGGGGTGTAAGCGGCAAACAGCAGTGGGCAAGCGCAGCCGTGTGACCTCTGGTTTCCCAGGGCCACATGACTGGCCCGCTCCCACCCCCACCCATCAGGGACCTAAGTCCAAGATGGAAAAGAATAAGCCTGATAATAATAAAGACGCCTAACTTTTGGAATACTTACTATGTGTCAGGCCCTGTGCAAAATCCTCACTGAGCCCTTACAAGTCCTAAAAGGGAGACACAATTGTCTGCCATTCACACAGCAGGGCTGAGAGGTGGCGGTAACTTGCCAGAGGTCACCCAGCTGGTAAGTGACAGAGCTGGAGCGCAAGCCTCGGGGCTCCAGATTCTGGGCCTTAACCACCGTACTCTCCTCCCTCCAGTAGGCTGAAGGAGGCCATCCTGTCCTATCGGGGTCTGCCCTGGGGTTCTCTATGACACAATGACTCAGGCCCTGCTTGAGTACCTCCTGGAACAGCTAACACTCAATTCATTTGTCTGCTCTCCCTATTCCTAGGGGGCTCCAAGGGACCACACTGCTCCCTCAGCTGCCCAGGGCCCCACCCCCAGGGAGACTCACCGGCCATCCACAGCATCCACCACGCGTCCAGATATCTCCATCTCCCAGAGCGAGCTTAGCATGCGTTCCCGGCGGTTGGGCCGGCGGGCCAGGCTGATGACAAAGACCTGGAGGAGGAAGGGGAGGTGGGTGCGGAGTCGGGGGTGGGTGCAGAGGGAGGGGAGAGCCCACCCACCTCTTCACCCCGCTCCTGTGGGCTGAGGGGACTTACCTCATCAAACCCCATTTTGCTGGGTTTCTTTGGGGGCCGGGACACGTGAGCTGAGGCCCACATGGGGGGCCCGTCCACTGCAGAAGAAAAGTACCCCCTAATCATGAATCCCTACTGGCTCTTGTCAGCAGTGACCCTGGAGTCCTAGCCCCCCACTTCATTTTTGCCCCCTCGGCAGAACACCCAGCAGGAAGAGCCCTCAGAGATCATAGAATTCACCTGCCTTCATTGTAGCGATGGGGACAATGAGGCCCAGCGGGGAGAAGGACTTGCCCAGAGACGAGGAATGAATTAGAGGTAAGGCTGAGACCCCAAGCCCACTGCCCAGTCAGGTCCAGGGCCTGGGAGAAGGGGCACAGGGGGTGGCAGGGAACAGTGGCAGCCGGCTAGCACCCCATCTCCCAGCCCTCACCTAGCGCCTCCAAGATCAGGTGGATGAAGTTGACCTTCTCGTCCTCCAGCCCCTGGTGGGATTTCACAGGCACGTTCATGTACCCATAACGGTGCTCGTTGCACACGTGGACCGCGACTCCTGTGGAGAGAGGCTGGGTGGGTGCTGCAGGCGGGGCAGGGCTCTCAGAACCCAAAGCATGTGTCTCCTTGGGGACTCAGTGTCCCGACCGTGGGGCTGGAGGGAGAAAGGGCTTTACTCAAACAGTATCTAAGGGACCCTTCTGCCGAGATGGTTTATTCATTCAACAGATGTGTCTAGAGTACCAGCTGGGTGCTGGGGGATGGTGGTGAGCATCCTGGGGAGGGAGGAGCAGACAAACTCTCACCTGACCACAGCCGTGGGGCCAGGCCAGCCCCACCCGCTAAAGCTCCCCCACCTATGCCCGTCCCTGCTGCCCCGCCTGGATCCAGCACCATCACCTTGTGCCCAGACCCCTCTAAGCAACCCCACACCTCCTGCCCCGCCCGCGCTGCCCTCCACCTCTTCTATTTCTTCAATATTTGTCACCTTTATTGTAATTACTTATTTCCCTTTTATCTCGTATGGACTGCGAATTCTTCAGCGACAGGCGCACAGTATTTACTTAAAAGTCAACCCCATGCCCAGCAGGGAGCACAGAGCCTGGTCCAGAGCAGGGACTCAGTAGCTGGGCGCCGGGAGCCTGAATGATACAGACAAAACCCCGGTACAAAATTCCTTCCAGCGGCTGCCCCTTGAAACAGCGGTAGCCCTGGAAAAGCCAGGGAACACTTCCGCTTCTCACGGATTCTCCCTGACTCTGTTTTTCCTTCGCTCACTTTTTGCACTTGGTAAGATTTCCTGTCTTGCCTGTCTGCAACGGACTCCACCAATACCCCTTGCATGAAAAAGCCAATTACCACACTTTCCCCTCTGGCCACTGTTGGCAGCCCGCTTGCTCACGTACGGCACTTCTGGATTAGATGGTCACTTCTCATTCTTCCCGAATTAGTCTCTTCTTAAGATTCTCTTTTCAACGCTGGTGTCTCTGTCTCACTCCCATCTCTGACTCTTTCTCAGGACTGGATTTAGCCCAATTCAGCCCAAACACTCTCCAGTAATTTCCATTTTAAAAATAATGCCAACATCAGAGTGTTCCTGGCTGCCCAATGTTCTCAGGCTAAAGACCAGATGCTTGCTGGTCAGATCCACATAGGCTGGCCCCTGGCTCAGCCTGTACCATGTCTTCCTCACTTATTGGGGTCCTGTCACCTGCCTTCTTACGTTCCCTGCTACCACAGGGCCTTTGCACTTGCCGGTCCCATTGCCTGAAATGCTCTTTCTTGCTCTTATTGATGCTTTCCCATATTTTAGATCTCAGCCTCAAAGTTCATACCCTCCAGGAAGCCTTCCCTGACCAGATCTATTCTGGTCTAAGCTCCCTGAGCACCTAGAATCAAGAAACATTCCTTCCTGTCATGGCTGTGATTGCACATTGATTTGTGAGCTCCTTGGACTGACTGGACTGGAGGTTCCAGGAGGGCAGAGGCTGCCTGAGTTTACTCACCACTGTCTCCCCAGTGCCCGGCACATGGTAGGTGCTCCATAAACATTTGCCTAATGAAACAATGCATGAAAGTGCCAGGAATCCAGAAGAAGGACATCTAGCCTACTGGCACAGCGGGCTCAAGAAAGGCTACGACCTGGACCAACAAGAATTTAACAGGATGAATTGGAGACTGGAGAAGGGTGTGCAAAGCAGAGGGAACAGCGTGTGCAAAGGCCCAGAGGCCTCCAGGAATGCTCACAGGGAGCTGGTCCTCACCAGCAGCCTGGCAGGAGTAGGCGAAGACGATGATATCGTCGAAAGGCCAGGTGTAGTTGGGGTGAGGGGGGTAGAAGGCGAGTTGGGCTGCTCCCTCAGCCCGCAAGGATACCAGGAAGGTGGAATGGACCATGGGAACACGGAAGCAGCCCCGGCGTTGGCGGTTCTTGGTGGGGAAGTAGTCGGCTGTGCGGCGGTAATAGCCCTGGGGAAAAGGGTTGCTCTGAGCTATGACAGCGGCCCGTCCTCCCCAGAGCACTGCTCCCCTGCCATGGCCCACAGACCTGAGGCCTCCATCCCAGCCTTACCTGGGGGGTGATCCCACACCAGAAATTGGAGTAGTAGGTCTGGGAGTCCAGCATGGGGGCCACCACGGGCAGCCGCTGCTCTATCAGAAGCCTCAGTGTCTGGTTGTTGGTCAGAATGTTGTCTGTATCTGCAAACTTTTGGGAGGTGGCTGTCACAGGTCCCAGCCTTGTCTGGGCTACACCCCCAAGGATTCACTGAGTGGGATCCCTCTGGATTGCCAGAGACCCCACATATCTCCTGGGATCCGAAGGGTTTCCGTTAGAAAGTTCGAACCTATAAACAAGGTAAGTTTGTTTCTGGACCAAGGATCTAGTCTGGAGCACTGGTTCATGGATTGGGTCCAGGGGTTAAACCTGAGTTGCTGATCTAATAACTTTACTTAAACATTTTTTAATGTTTATTTATATTTTTGAGAGAGAGGGGGGTGCCTCGGTGGCTCAGTCGGTTGCACGTCTGGCTCTTGGTTTCAGCTCAGGTCATGATCTCATGATCTTATGGGTTCAAGCCCCGCATCGGGCTCTGCGCCGGCAGCATGGAGCCTGCTTGGGATTCTCTCTCTCCCTCTCTATCTGCCCTTCCCCCACTCACACTGTCTCTCTCTCTCTCAAAAATAAATAAACTTAGAAAAAAATATATATTTTTGAGAGAGAAAGAGCATGAGCAGGGGAGGGACAGAGAGAGACGGAAACAGAATCTGAAGCAGGCTTCAGACTCTCAGCTGTCGAGAGGGGCTCATCAGCTCAGAACCTGATGCAGGGTTCGAACTCCCAAACTGTGAGATCATGACCTGAGCCAAAGTGAGACGCTTAACTCACTGAGCCACCCAGGTGCCCCGTGAGAACTTTATTTTAGATCTGACTTAGGGAGTAGAGTCAAAGACCTACTCTGAGTTCTAGTCCAGGGAACCAGGCTCAGTTTACACTCTGGGCTCTAGGAATCTAGGCTCAGTATATACCCTGCAATCTGTCTCAGGGATCCAGGCTTAGTAGCTAATGTGAACTCAAACATGGGGATCCAAGCTCAATATCTGGTCTGGGTTCTTACCCAGGTTGCTAGCTGGAGGGTCCAGCCTACAGGTTTGTCAAGTCACAGCAAGATGTCTATCAGGGACTGATACCGCCGCCTGAGGGAAACTCCCATCATAGCCAGGCTTTCTTACCAGGATGTAGTCAGCCCCCCAGTCCCTGGCAAAGGTCAGGGCTTCCTGTTTCAACTCCATCAGAAACTGGTGCCTTTCTTTGGTCCAGTGCTTGGGACCCTCTTCATCTGGGTAGGACCTGAGAGGGTAAAGAGACGAGATGTTCCCCCTGGGGCAGGTACATGTGGTCCTCGTCTCTGCAGAGCAGCGGACAGAGCCCTGGCCTGAAGGCTGTGGCTTGGGGCTGTCCCCTTTCCTCTCTAGGTTATAGCTATAGCCCATCTCCCCAAGAACCTTGCCCCTGAGATCACCACCTGGGCGCCCCCTCAGGCCTCCAGACCACAGCTGCATAGTCATCACCCACAGCGGCTAGCCACTCCTGCAGCATCTGTGTAGTGTTGTCCGTGTTGTGGTCCGTGGCACACCTGGGGACACAGGAGGAAGAAGGGTGAGGGGGCGGAGCCACGGAGGAGCCAAACCCCGAGGCAGCCGTGACCCCT